TGAAAACGGTACATATTATGACGTAACTGTGATGTCATCATATAAACAATCTTATATTTTTCATTTATATTTCTTCACTCTATGCATTTCAAAACATTATGTGCCAATTTGAAATAGTTGTCCAACATTTTATTTTCTTGGGCCAAAACCGGGCCTTAATGCCCCTACTCCTTTGTGACATACCACGATTTGTGTTATTGGGCATCACCTTTTACTCGTAACCCTAATATTTCATGCCCTTCCTGTTATCAATCTATATTCTGGAAGATAATTTTTGCATCATAGAGCAGCAGAATATGTTGACTTAATTAATTTGGTTAAATTACTTGAAGAAAACCGAAAATTGCAACAGGAAGTTTTGAATGAAACGAAATCATCGGCGCTTACCGATAATGGAAATGAACAAATTCTAAAAATCGTAAAGTTTTGAAAATAAATAAAAACAGGGCGGGACGATTTCAGAGGGGTGGGCGTGGATAAAAATCTTATCAATTAATTTTAATTAGTCTTATAATACAGTATTGTTTTTGCTCATTGTTAAAGGATGTATGGTTACCCATCATTGTTTACATCCTCACCCTTTGGTTTCAGGTTGATAGTTGTCACATTGGTAATCATACCACATCTCCTTTTTTATACTGTTGCTTTAGTGAAAAAATAAAAAGAAACAAAAAATTCTATCTGTCTAAATATGACCAATAAAAAAGGCGGATAAATTGGTTTTTATTCTATGTTCGTGTGTCATGTCGTTTTAAGTATAAATAACTGAACTCAATATGAGCCAATCGAAATCATGTAAACAAAGGAGTAACCAAATGACAATAGATTGATATGATAAAATGCTATTATGTTCTATGATCAATATACAGGTATAGCCTTGACTGATAAAATTCTTTATATACCCAACTTTCAGAAATCATTCATAAGTTCAATGATCTTATTTAAACACTGCACGAAGTATTTGTCCTTGCTATTTATATAAAACTTGCTAGTCATGATGACCTTGGGAACCGCAATGTTTTTAATAGACTCCCACTTGTACATATTTGATAATATAACCTGGAGACCAATCAAAAGATTGTTTGTATCGTGCAAAATAATAAGCTTGCTTGCACATGCTCTCTCATAATAATGGACATGATAGATAAATATTTATTTTTCATCGAAATTTTGAATTTATCATTATTGTAAATATCCGGGTTCACATTTGGAGACTGTTGATAAAAATGAATGCACACTATATTTTTGGTATAGTGAACTGTGTTTAATGGGAGTGGTATGGGTAATGTTTACAATAAAAAACTCAATGGTAACATGATCATTCATTGATTCACAAATCACCGGTATATCTATAGTCTTTCTATTTTTGTATTTCGTTGGTTAACTGAATTTTCCCCTTAAAAAGTATGATTGAGGCAGAGAAGTGAAAAAATAAAGTTTGTTCAATGTTCCAAAGTAAATATATTAGGTATCACATGTGATATAGACCTGCACCTAGATAGTAAACTCTTCAGATTAATTTATCCATGCTTAAAACCATTGAACTAATAAATAAGATTCGAAGAAAATATAGACATTTCCTTGAATTATATCTCTTTAAACTAATATAAAATATGTACACAGACAGTTGAATTTTAAACATTTTGAAATTTAAAGTTATCCTTCATATTAACATTATATATGATTAATCAAATTTTCCCTAATTTGAAAGAACAAGAAATAAAGCTCTGCTCTGTTGTACGTAATTTTTTTACAGATTTTCTTTTTTTTTATCAAAACAATGCTTTGCTGTGTTGTTGTCAATTATTATACCTTACATATATTATAAACAATTCTATTGGGGAATACATTATCACATGACATGGTATAATAAAACAATTTTGGTCCCTAAGAAGCGACAGATATCCAAAATTGTCAACCCTTAAAAGTGATTTCACTTCCGACCGTGCTCTCAGGAAAATAACCTTTTAGAGTTGACAATTTTAGATATTCACCTTTTCTACGGGCCATAATTGTTTAAAATTTTTATACACGGAGAAAAATTTAAAGAAAAAACACAAAATACATAGTCAGTATGATATTTTAGGTTTTTTCTTCAAAATTTATGTATACAATCATGTTCATGTAAATTGAATAGAGAGAATGAGTAAGAACAAATCTTTATACCTGCTTTTGAGTGGGCTTTCCTTTGGTTTATATTATAATGACTTCTGAAGCCTATTGATTCGTTGGTCAAAAGTCAAGGTCACTATTACTAAGAATAGAAAATTTGTGAAAAATGGCTTCCTGATGGTAACTTGAGGTTCTGCTTGATTGGAAAAAAACTAATGGACGGAAAATATAATGAAGGGGAAGGTGTCTATTGAATTTGTGGGGAAAGGTCACGGTCATTGTTACTAAAAATAGGAAAATAAATGCATAAATGGTTACTTGAGATTCCCTTGCTTGATTGGAATGAAACTTATACTCATGGAAGTTTTGTGTGCTATTGAAATAAAAGTTTTAATTTCTAAATCTCAATTGTCAATAACCTTTTCTGTTTTTTTCTTTTTAAATGATATGGTAAATTGTCAGAATTTGATCAATATTACTGTTGGGTGTGATTCCATCAAGGATGTAAAACTAGAAGTCGCAAAATCATTGAGTAGACAGAAACTGCATTTCCATTGCTCCTGTGCTTTAATTTTATTGCTGGGTTGCTGTTTCCTTGATTATATATGTATATATCTCACATCTCCTTTTATTCATGTAAATTCCCTTCAGATTGAATATATAACCAAATTCTTTATTCTTTATAAATAGTTTTATTTAATATTTTGGGACAAGGTCATCCATTGTATTTCATTGATTGAGTGCTAACAATGTCTGTAGAGCAAATCAACCTTGAGAATTCAAAAACTTGTTTGTTTAACAAACATAGCTCCAGTTACCAGTCATTTACATGTATATATACAAATATATCCCTATTTTATATTGAGGAAATCTAATTAAGCATACAGTATAGTTATGTTGGCATTGTCTCTTTGTAGAAATAGTGTTTTTTTTTTGGTTATTTTAAATCAGATTATGTCACTGTAGCTATGCCAAGGAATATAGTTATGACTTTAATGTATACATGGAAAATGATTCCATTTGTATGAAATTTAAATCTTTGCTTCACTTGTGTTAAAACAGTATCAGATTGTATTGCCTTTATACAATTAGGATGACACTTAATCCTTGTTAAAAAGAAACAAAATTAGATAACAAAAAAGTTTTAAAACTTAATTGTGACTGGATTCAGTTTTGTGTAATGATTAATTCTTAAAAACACACAATTTATTTATATTTATGTCCTTAGTAAAAAGCCCACAACTTTGATGGGGGAGTAATTTTTAAGTGAAATAAAAGTGATTATTGTACAGTATATCTATGTAAATATATGTATGTCATAGTTATCTGTGACAATAAGAACATCTGCCATATCATGTTTCTGTTATGCAAATTCTTGCATACAATTTGAAGTAAAAAAACAAAAGAAAAAGTAAAACCAGGAAATTGACTTTCACTGTTGATGTATGACATTACACTTAAAAACTGGTGGAAAATTTTGAATGCATTTTAAAAAAAATTAAAATGTTCAAGGGTCACTTCACTATTACTTGTCAAATGGGGTGGGGGGAATGAACAGTAGAATGGAAATTGCTTACAATTTTATACCAAAAAATTTTGTTTATGAAAAGTGAAAAGAAGCTAAAATTTTCTGTTGACAACTAATTGTTAATCCTAAACAGCAATCAATCAGTCCTGATAAGAGTATTTTACAGTAATATGAGGTACTCTCTAATTTTATTGTCTACAAATCTTGTGGTAGCATGCTTGCCTCAGGGATGGTAGGAAGCAGATTCGATCCTTGGCCAGGTCATACAAAATATTTTTAAATTGGTATTTTCTGCTTCTCCAACCGGCATGCAGCATGTCTGAGTAAGAACAAAGACTGGTCTGCTTGGAGTCAGAATGATGTGTCCAGGTACCTGGGGGTGACATGTCTTCCTGTGGTCTTACCTTATAAGCTACATTGAGCTAGCATGTAAAAATCTGCCTCAACTTTTGGGTCTAGTACAAAACAAAATATCTTTACTTTACATCAACATATCATTGTCGTATATATCTACGGTGCAGTCCTGTGTATCCGCGCACCTAAGACTTATGACTTCACTTCATTCAACTGATAAAACCAATAATTGGATAATATTGTGTGAACACATTCATAACATACTTTTATTTCATAAAATCTTCTGTTTGTATGGTTTCATCCTCAGGTTTTGTGTAATAAGTGTCCAAAATTAGGGAAACCCCTGTTCTGAGAGTTCCTCCAATGTCCGGTGATTTCGCACATGCCTTCCAAAAATAGCTTATTTTGAATAAAGGAAAGATTTTATACTATGAAATATAGCTGAATTTAAACCAAACACACTGCCAAGGATGCAGAGCAAAAAATATTTCAATCTGATTTAAATTTGACTAAATTAAAACAAATTTGATCTGATGATGTAATTTTTTTAATGGAAATTGGCCAAATATTGTAAATCCCGGGATTGCAGTAATTAATTAACTCTTGAACTTATCAATTTTATTCTTTTTTTATCCCTTCGGAAGGCTAAAACAATAACAAGAACGATTTTATTTGTGTTACTGTGTTGATATGACGAAATCAGCCAATGCGCGATATCACCGGCCATGCGGACACTGGGGACTCCACTGTATGTAAAATTTGCTGCTGAACGTTTAACAGCTATCAACCAGCCAATTTAAAAAAAAAACAATATCCCAGTTATGATAGCTGAATATGAAACCGGTTATTTATGGTTAAATCTTCAACTGTGTATTAAAGAAATCCTGTTCTTATCTTCTTTTGAAGATTACTATGGCATAACCTTGTCTTTATAATAAATATTTTTACTATCTTGCTTAAAAATTTGGTAGGGTTTTTAAATGTGTTGTTTTTTTTTCTATTTCAGTTTGTAAGAATATTGACATAAGGAACAAAGTAGAGAACTTTGACAAATTAGAAAATTGTACAGTGATTGAAGGATCATTAAGTATTCTGTTGATAGAAGGAGCAAAAGAAGAGCAATATCGCCAACTTTCATTTCCAAATCTAGTCGAAATTACTGATTATCTTCTGCTTTATCGAGTTTATGGATTAAAAACTTTAAGCAATATCTTTCCAAATCTTTCTGTTATAAGAGGCCAGCGGCTTTTTTTCAATTTCGCCTTCGTTGCATTTGAAATGATGGATTTGGAGGAATTAGGATTAATTGGATTAACTGTGATTGAAAGAGGAGCTGTGCGCCTTGAAAAGAACCCTATGTTATGTTACATTGATACCATTGATTGGACGAGAATTGCCAAAGGAGTCGATCGTAAAGACCATTTCATCAAGGACAACAAAAAGACAGCTGAATGTGTGGACATGTGCCCAGCTTACTGTGCCGCAACTCCAAAAAGTGAATTTGAAAACCACAGAGAAATTAAGCGCTGCTGGACTTATAATCATTGTCAGAAAAATCTTGGTAAGTTTTTATAATAGGATGAGTTATTTGATAGACAGATGGATATAAAAATGGAAAGTAGGGTAACAAAATGTCAGTAAAAGTGTTCTTAAGGGCCATGGAATTTTCTTTTATAAGTTTCACATGTGAAACTGAAATATCACATTTTCTCCAAATTGAGAATAGAAAAATTATTTCTGTTTATATTATATATTAATTTAAGATCTGTTTCTCAGATACTATAAGCCAAATGTCAACTAATTGCAGTATATATGCAATGATTAAATGGAGTACATGTTGGTCTGTCAGGGTTTATTTGACCTTGACCTCATTTTCATGGTTCGTTCAATAATAAGTTTTCCTTGTTAGGTGTTCTAAGTATTTTTTTTCAGATACTTTAGGCAATCTGACATTAAACCCTTTCACATATATCTATTTAGTCTAGAAATTCTAAACAGAACTCAAAAAGTTTTAATAAGGAGAAAATACTTAATGAAATACATACTGTCTTCCAGTGTTTTTGTTGGCTTTTTTCAAAACTACCTTCACCCTTTTTTGGAGGAAAATATTTCGGGAAGGGGAAAGAAACGGGGAAAAATGACTATCTTTACCTTAAAAATCATGTGCATTACAAACACCGCTTTGATTCTGATAATTCCAGATCTCAAAAGCGCTTTCATCATATAAAAAAATTACATTGTGAATGGAAACACCATATTCATGTACATTTACTACTGAGACTATCACTGATTGGGAAAATTGCACATCTTATCGGGAATAATTTTAAGCCTTTATTTTGGCCTACTAACTGGGAAACTTTCTCTAGGGGAAACAGCCGAATTTCAGAGGTTATCATAGGCAAACAATATCACTGCCTTCCAGACAAGGTTTCAAACAAAATGATATGGGTTGCTTGTATGGTGTGTAACTTCTTAAAATACATAAACATGTATATGATCATGCACTTATTTGGTGGTTTATCTTACTACTATTAATGTGTTGTTAAAACTCCATATTAATAAATTAAACCTGTATGACATATATGGTAATGAAATAAAATTGGTGAAGATTTATTTTATGTTTGGTTTGTAAGAGTGATTTAGGTGTATCAGTAAGTTGTTTACTGTATATATAATGTCTGTCCAGGATAATGTTGTCTGCTGTAAAGCCTTCCGATCAATCAGTTTCCCATTGTCAGGATGTTATTTTAATACTGTAGTAAAATATTGTACTCTTATAGAATCACATCAGTACAAAAAGGACATATTTATATTAATCTTCACAAGCATGTGACTGTATTTTATTGATTTAGGTACAGTGACACTGCAGGGAATGTTTAAACTAAAAAAAAAAAAAAAACAATAAAACAAAAATCTGGATGTTAAACTGTGGATTTAAAATGGTTTACAGGAATATAAATTTTCATTCATACTTAAATCAATTCACTGTTGCATTGCTTGGATAGAACATGAATAAAGTACATTTGTTCTGTAAATTCAGAATTTAATGTGTGCATATTAATGATTAATCTTGTTATTGTGAATCTTCAAAAACAGTTTTTACCAAAGTTGAATCTTACAAACAAAAATGAAAATGCCAGATCACATTACATGTATCCTGTCACCAGTGGTCACATTTTTATATGACCGCAAAAAAATTTTGCGTTCATATATTGGTATGACGTTGGCGTCGTTGTCGTTGTCCGGCGTCGTCATCGTCCGAAGACACATTAGTTTTTATACGACCGCAAAAATTGAAAATTTTTTGGTCGTATATTGGTATGACGTTGGCGTCGTCGTCGTCGTCGTCCGGCGTCGTCTGGCGTCGTCCGAAGACACATTGGTTTTCGCACTCTAACTTTAGTTTAAGTGAATGGATCTCCATGAAATTTTACCATAAGGTTCAATACCATGAAAGGAAGGTTGGGATTGATTTTGGGGGTTATGGTACCAACAGTTAAGGAATTAGGGGCCAAAAAGGGGCCAACAATAAGCATTTTTGTAACTTCCAGACAATAACTTGTGTGTAAGTGTATGGATCTCTCTGACATTGTACCACAAGGTTCCATATCACAAAGGGAAGGCTGTAATTGATTTTGGGGGTAATTGCCTCAAAATGTTAGGAATTAGGGGCCAAAAAAGGGGCAAAAAACAAGCATTTTTCTAGTTTCATGACAATAACTTGTGTGTAAGTGTTTGGATATTTCTGAAATTGTACTACAAGGTTCCATATCACAAAGGGAAAGCTGGAATTGAGTTTGGGGGTAATTGCCCGAAACGTTTAGGAATTGGGGGCCAAAAAGGGGCCAAAAATAAGCATTTTTCTAGTTTCCAGACAATAACTTGTGTTCAAGTGTATGGATCTCTCTGAAATTGTACTGCAAGGTACCATACCACAAAGGGAAGGCTGAGATTGAGTTTGGGGGTGATGAATCATAAGGGGGTTCAAAAAATTTTGGGGGGGGATTTTTTTTTTTCTTTTTTTTTTTTCATTTTTTCCTTTTTTTTTTCTTTTAAAATTTTCCATTTTAAGTTGGTTATTTCTGATTTATATTTAAAAGCAAATAATAATGATATGGTAGGAGATACACACCAAACAGGATGTGTAAATTATTATATAATAAGTATTGTGCAATAGCAAGAAATTTTCAATTGCACAGTATTGCACAATAGCAAGAAATCTTCAATTGCACAGTATTGCGCAATAGCAAGAAATCTTCAATTGCACAGTATTGTGCAATAGCAAGAAATATCCAATAGCACAATATTGCGCAATAGCAAGAAATTGTCAATTGTACAGTATTGCGCAATAGCAAGAAATAATCAATTGCACAGTATTGTGCAAAAGAAGATACTTCGTATAAATTGCTTATTTCTTGATCAATTTCAATGGGGTTTTATTCTTGAATTCTTGGGGTTCTTTAATATGCTGAATCTAACCGTGTATTAAGTTTTTGGATTTTGGGCCCCGTTTTTAAATTGGTCCACATTGAGGTCCAAAGGGTCCAAAATTTTACTTTGTTTGATTTCATCAAAAATTGAATTATTGGGGTTCTTTGATATGCCGAATCTAACCGTGTATTTAGATTCTTAATTTTTGGTTCTGTTTTCAAATTGGTCTACATAAAGTTCCAAAGGGTCCAAAATTAAACTTAGTTTGATTTCAACAAAAATTGAATATATGGGGTTCTTTGATATGCTGAATCTAACCATGTATTTAGATTTTTGATTATGGGCCCAGTTTTCGAGTTGGTCCAAATCGGGGTCCAAAATTAAACTTTGTTTGATTTCAACAAAAATTGAATATATGGGGTTCTTTGATATGCTGAATCTAACCATGTATTTAGATTTTTGATTATGGGCCCAGTTTTCAAGTTGGTCCAAATCGGGGTCCAAAATTAAACTTTGTTTGATTTCAACAAAAATTGAATATATGGGGTTCTTTGATATGCTGAATCTAACCATGTATTTAGATTTTTGATTGTTGGGCCCCGTTATCAACTTTGTCCACATTGAGATCAAAAGGGTCCAAAATTAAACTTTGTTTGATTTCATCAAAAATTGAATATATGGGGTTCTTTGATATGCTGAATCTAACCATGTATTTAGATTTTTGATTATGGGCCCAGATTTCAAGTTGGTCCAAATCGGGGTCCAAAATTAAACTTTGTTTGATTTCAACAAAAATTGAATATATGGGGTTCTTTGATATGCTGAATCTAACCATGTATTTAGATTTTTGATTATGGGCCCAGTTTTCAAGTTGGTCCAAATTAAACTTTGTTTGATTTCAACAAAAATTGAATATATGGGGTTCTGTAATATGCTGAATCTAACCGTGTATTAAGTTTTTGGATTTTGGGCCCCGTTTTTAAATTGGTCCACATTGAAGTCCAAAGGGTCCAAAATTTAACTTTGTTTGATTTCATCAAAAATTGAATTATTGGGGTTCTTTGATATGCCGAATCTAACCGTGTATTTGGATTCTTAATTTTTGGTTCCGTTTTCAAATTGGTCTACATAAAGGTCCAAAGGGTCCAAAATTAAACTTAGTTTGATTTTAACAAAAATTGAATTTTTAGGGTTCTTTGATATGCTGAATCTAAACATGTATTTAGATTTTTGATTATGGGCCCAGTTTTCAAGTTGGTCCAAATCGGGGTCCAAAATTAAACTTTGTTTGATTTCAACAAAAATTGAATATATGGGGTTCTTTGATATGCTGAATCTAACCATGTATTTAGATTTTTGATTTTTGGGCCCCGTTATCAACTTTGTCCACATTGAGGTCAAAAGGGTCCAAAATTAAACTTTGTTTGATTTCATCATAAATTGAATTCTTGGGGTTCTTTGATATGCTGAATCTAACCATGTATTTAGATTTTGGATATTGGACCATAATAGGTGAATGTCCAATTTAAAATTTTTAAGTTCTTAGACCACATTCATTCTGTGTCAGAAACCTATGCTGTGTCAAATATTTAATCACAATCCAAATTCAGAGCTGTATCAAGCTTGAATGTTGTGTCCATACTTGCCCCAACTGTTCAGGGTTCGACCTCTGCGGTCGTATCAAGCTGCGCCCTGCGGAGCATTTTATTGCACTCTAACTTTAGTTTAAGTGAATGGAACTCTATGAAATTTTACCATAAGGTTCAATACCATAAAAGGAAGGTTGGGACTGATTTTGGGGGTTATGGTACCAACAGTTAAGGAATTAGGGGCCAAAAATAAGCATTTTTGTAACTTCCAGACATAACTTGTGTGTTAGTGTATGGATCTCTCTGACATTGTACCACAAGGTTTCATATCACAAAGGGAATGCTGGGATTGATTTTGGGGGTAATTGCTTCCAAATTTTAGGGGCCAAAAAAGGGGCAAAAAACAAGCATTTTTCTAGTTTCATGACAATAACTTGTTTGTAAGTGTATGGATCTTTATGAAGTTGTACTACAAGGTTCCATATCACAAAGGGAAAACTGGCATTGAGTTTGGGGGTAATTGCCCAAAACGTTTCAGAATAAGGGGCCAAAAAGGGGCCAAAAAAAAACAAGCATTTTTCTAGTTTCCAGACAATAACTTGTGTTCAAGTGTATGGATCTCTCTGAAATTGTACTGCAAGGTACCATACCACAAAGGGAAGGCTGGGATTGATTTTGGGGGTAATTGCCTCAAAATTTTAGGATTAAGGGCCAAAAAGCGGAAAAAAACAAGCATTTTTCTAGTTTCCAGACAATAACTTGTGTTCAAGTGTATGGATCTCTCTGAAATTGTACTGCAAGGTACCATACCACAAAGGGAAGGCTGGGATTGAGTTTGGGGGTGATGAATCATAAGGGGGTTCAAAAAATTTAGGGGAGGGATTTTTTTTTTCTTTAAAATTTTCCATTTTAAATTGGTTATTTCTGATTTATATATAAAAGCAAATAATAATGATATGGTTTGAATAGGTAAATTAAAATTTTTCAAGTTCTTAGACCACATTCATTCTGTGTCAGAAACCTATGCTGTGTCAAATATTAAATTATAATCCAAATTCAGTGCTGTATCAAGCTTGAATGTTGTGTCCATACTTGCCCCAACTGTTCAGGGTTCAACCTCTGCGGTCGTATCAAGCTGCACCCAGCGGAGCATTTTATTCACATTTATAAAAACATCAGCAATAATTTCTCAATTTATAGTTTCCTGGAAATACAGTTCGTCACAAACCATGAAGATTATTATCAATTTAAAATTACTATTACATCTAACAACTAATATTAAAGTGGGTTGAGTTACAAACTATCAGTAAGATTCAATTAACTAATCAGATTAACTTAGTTACTCCTTGTTTATATTTTCAAACATTGAGTTTAATTTGGTTTATCACAATACTAAGATGACCTTCACAATGCTGTCAGGCCCTCTTTAACAAACTTTTACCTTACTAGACTATTGCTTTCTTTTGTCAGAATTATTAAAATTTTATATTATTCATGAAGCTAGAGATACATGTAAACCTCTACAAAAGATTGATTGATTGTTGGTTGCGTAACGTCCATTTGCAGAACTGATCTGTAAGTTAAGAAAAGAACGTTGTGTGTCTAGAAAAGAACTTAGTAAGTTTAAAAAAGGACTACACAAGGAACTGTATGTAAGTCTTAAAAATTTCATCCTTCAAACTTTAGAAGTCAGTAAAATCATAGTTACGGAACAACTGTGCATTTGTACATTTTGTAATTTAAACTCCATATCAAAATAAATCAAATTAATTTAATGGCCTTAAATCCAATAGCAGCATTGCAAACAAGACACACTAATCCAATAAGATTGATTGATTGTTTGTTGCTTTACGTCCAGTGGCAAATATTTCATGCATGCTCAGGACAAAAATCCAATAAGAACATACATATGTGTAACGTGGAACGAGCAAAGGAATATGTACAATGAAAATATTAACATGAATAACAATTATACAAAGTTGGAGGAGTAATAATTTAAGGCTATGCACAAAATGCTTCAGGCAAAATTTTGCTAATAGAAGGTGCACATGGTAAACCATTTGACACACGCCTACCAAACTAGGTTTGGCTGTTCTACAACATATGCTTTTGCACCTACTTCCCAGCAGATATGAGAAATAATGCACAAAACATTTTCAGTCTAAACAGTTTATTATGATGACGGCAATCCTGAAACAAATATTTGTGGCATTTGAATAATATGTCTGTGTACAGTATTGTGACAATATATATGCAGAAGTTAAAGAAAAAACATTTTGGGCTTTTATTTGTAAATCATTCATTCATACATGTTTATGAGAAATTCTAATTTTTACATTGAAAAAACCCATGAAAATAGAAGAAAAATTGTTACAAGATCTGTGGGAAGATTTATTATGTCAGTTTTAAGGTAATAGAGAGTTGTAACAATATCGGCCCTGAGAATTTTGCCTCTAATACATGTATATATTAAAGGTTTAAAGACGATACAATGATTTATCAGATCAGTTGTGTTTTCTATCTCCTGTTTCAGGGATTTAACTACAGGTATTATATATGTCTTTGAGATATAATATTTCTGTGTGCTGGTAGCAGTTCATTGTACGTAGATATCTATTAGTAAAAAAATGGTTTAAATTACAGGTCCTTTTATTTTCTTATCATTGAAACAAAAGCAGCATTAATAGGTTGTTGTTTTGCATCATGGCCTTTTGTTTGAACCACCGGTCATTATCCTCACTCATGATCAACATAAACCCACTGAACTTCTACAGATTCTTGTACAGGAAGTAAAGATGTCCATTTCCTATTTTAACTTCATGTATTGATCACATTTTATTTTGGGTGTTTCACAATTGGATTAAAATACAGAGCGTATGTCCATGCTTTGCTTACATGATCTGTTTTTGAATCAGATTGGGTGTTTCACATATTCAAATATATAGGTATTTGTTTAAAAGGCACATTTTGTTAACATGCAACTAGTCTTAAACTGTTTGACATTCAATGTAAATATAAACCTACCAAACTCACAATGGTCTTCAACTTCTTTTATTTTTGCCTTTTTATCTCTTTTGATTCAAGCATCACTGATGGGGGTTTTGTAGACAAACATGCATCTGGCGTACAAAATTTTAATACTGATATCTATGATGAGCTCATTGACTTCAACAACAAGTAGACTACTACAGATTGTAATAAACAATTAATTTCCCCATAGGCGACAATGGTAGCCTTTTTCGGGATACAGACTTTAGAAAGTTGATTTTTTTAACGAAACCTTGCTAGAATTAAAGAAAAATTATTCGGACAGTATTTTTTGGTCCAAAAAATATAGGTTCCCGTTGCTTTTCTTAACGTAATTTGTACTCTTTTAAATCTCCCATGCCTATGAATTTTGCACTTAAAAACATGTGTCTCATCCTAGCGTTGAAAAGACATCTCAGTTCCGTTAGGGCTAAGGAAAATAATTTATTTTGCCTTTGGTATAATGCAGAGTGCACTAAAGCTCTAATAATAAAAAATAACGGTCGCACATATCGACCAATCAGGATTAGCCATACTCTTAATTCTGAATACCATGTTATGTTCATAAAATGGCTGCGCCCATAAAATCTTAATGGTTTATTGTAACCTACAGTCCTTATATGTTTGATCAAATGAATTTCTGGGTTTTCCACAATCAAACAGGAGTTTTCTATGTGGTAATACAATTAGTGTGCCATTTGTTGTGAATGCCTTAGGCAAATGACACATGTACATGTATGTTTTTATAGAAGACTGGGTTTAACTATAACACATCTAATTTAATACGGGAGCCATTTTTTGTGAATTTTAATTTTTGTCCTTTGGTCAAATCTTAAACCAAACTGCTTGACAGCTAAATTATCTAAATATCTGTATTATTTTATTCAAGGGTACAGGTAAATTTTGTACATGCTACATGTAAACTTTACAAAAGAACTATTTCTTTCAGTGAAAAAACATAAGTGGATTATGTTGATCAGTATAATCCAGGGTTAAAATATGTTCAACAGATTACATTGTAAAGATTATAAAAAGAGTGTTGTAAAGGTGTAATAAATTAATAATTCACCCCCCCATGAACTGAATCAAAGTTATATTTATATATTTTTTCCTCAGGTTCTATTTAAAATACATAAAATGAATATTTAATAGATTTTGACATCCACAAGACACTGCTATCACTTTTTAAAGTTTTTTTTTTTATTATGAAAAATTTAAAAGGAGTTAAAAAAGAAAATAAAACAGTTTTAATTTAGTTTTACCCCCTGTTTCATCCATCTCATTTGAAATAATAGAGCCCCTTATGCAAATGATGTAAACATTAAAATTGCTGAAAATTTGTATTGCAGTATGATTATATTTCCGTCAATGTCACAAACCTACCCAAAATTTGTGTATTGTATTGTTACAACTCATCATTTTGGTTTCATAAACAGGTCAAGGTCATAAGTTTCAGCTCATCTACTATTTTGTTCCTTGTCATAAAGCAAAGGGTGGTTTGTTACCCTTTATTTTGGGAATTTTTTTTCTATTCAATTTCTTCTCTAATTTAATGTCTTGTTTTTGAGAATTTGAAAGTAGAAATTATATACTCTGTACATGTCATCAGAGTAGTTTTAATCAATGGTTAATTGGGATGGCCAACGTTGAAATCTACATAATAATGTTATGGTAAACCATGTCAACTAAAGTAACTGACATCAATTGACTTTAGACAACCGAAAAAACTGTTTCACCAGTTTAACAGTTTGCATATTTATATTACAGTACATTTTGATTTAGAATCTCAAAATTATGGAAATTAATTTAGAGTTTAAAGTTTAAAAAAAAAATATTTAAAGATGTTGCTGACACATGTTTGTATACAAGTATGTTCATGGTATGAAACTCAATGATACAAATGATAAATTTAGTAATAAAATGAAACATCTCATAACTTTCAAAGTACAATAACTTATTTAAGCTATATCTGAAGGTAGCCTCAAGTATGAATATATGACTAAAAAAGATGACAACAAATTATTTATACAAAAAAGAAATTTTCAAATATTTGTTCAAAATGTACACAGATGGTGGGGAATTCTTATTGGTTGTGATTTGCAGCAGCTAGGATTTAAAAAAGAAGTGTTTTGAAATGTAAATTTGAAATTAATTTTTAGTAAATTTTCATCACAACACTTTCAGGTCTATCAATCCTCTTTGTGAACTCTTGATTTCTGGAGGACTTGGAGTATTGGTTCAACTGAATACATTTAAATTGTTTAGGAGTTAGAGCAAACAAATACTGGTTAGCTCAGTCAAAATAATGAGTCTGAAAAGGGTGACATGTCTTTCTAGGGACTGTTAAATATATGTATTTCGTGAGCCAAGCATGTTAAAATTTGAACTAGTATTTTGTTCTTGTACAAGCAATTAGGTATATTTATTTCTTATCAGTTACCATGTTTACATTCTGAAGATGCTTGTAATATTTGCCACTCGATTTAAATCAATCAATAAGATAAATCACTAAACTTAAGGCCACTGATGCTATATGCCTTGAATTCACGAAAAGAGAGCTATTTATGCTATATTTATTATTAGATATGTTAAATATGCTTAAAATGTACCACACTAATGGAGTTGTACATTTTATGCATAATTTAATAATTTTAGTCGGCTATAGCATTTCGAATTCAAAAGGACATAACACAAAAATGACTTAATCAATAGTATTTTTAGTCTTGTTTATTGTTGGATCAAGCTATCATCTGTTATTGCATTATATGGTTAGACAATCTGGTGTAGTTCATTGAAGTACAGCTACATTATCAATACATATACAGTTGTACTGATATGTAAATCGACCACTGTTCAACATTGTAAACAACTCCTGGAGTCTTATTATTACACTACCTTGAAAATAGATTGTCAATTAATACCAAATTATCACAATCCATGTGACTAATGTAGATTAAAAGTTATTTTTTGATACCTATGCTTGGTTGATCATGCATTTGTTACCTTGTGTTTAACCTTAAGGATTGTTTACTTGGGAAAACAAGTCACACATTTAAGTGTTGATTTTATTATCCTGTAGAAAAACAAATTACTGGTCGGGACATTCCTTCTTTTATTAGATCTGCATAGAATGTGATGTTAATATATATGTTGTGGTCGACAATGGAAAGTTTTGAATTTTCTTAAAGCTTTTATAATTAATTTTTAGTTTGATCATACCATGATTTTTTTTTTATAAATTCAAACGTTAATTAAAAAAAAAATTATAGTCCCCTTGTATTGTACTACAATTTTTAGAAATAAGTCTGTCACAATGACATGTATTTTATGCTAGAATGGCATTAATCAATTAAAATTTGTTTTCATCATTTTTAAAGATATCTGAAACATGTATTTTTGCAAAACCAAATTAAGATATTTCAACCTTTCTGTTTATAGTGAAGAAACTTTTCCCCACTTAGGTGATCTTGGTTCTGTGTTAGGTATAAAAGTAGTGTGATATTTACCCACTAATTTTCCTCTGTAATCTATAACATTTTTTATTATACTTCATGTTGAAATGACAGATTTTGATTGGTTAATATGAGGGCGACAATTTACTCTATCCAATGGCTCAGTGGGAGACAATTTTTTGAAGGTCTGGTCACCCTCTCGTGCTGACCAATCACAAATCGATTATGTAGAGGACAATGGATTGAATTATGTCAATAATTTCAAATACCAAGCTCTAGTTCTACGTTTCGGCTTCAGACCTTTTTCATAGTTACTTACTTTCAATTTACAATTTGAAAGACAATATTGACAGATTATTCAGTATAATAAATTAAATAGTACATAGCTGAAAAGGTGGTAGAGCAGATTGTTACCCCTTGAAAAGCCCCTTTGCCTTAGTTGACAATGTTTTCTCAGGGTAACAATCTGCTCTATCACCCTTTCAGCTATATGTGTTATTTATATAGTAGTTACTGGGCTACTGCTGGTAACATTAGGTATATTTGTTTATAAAAGAATTCTCAAAAATATATTTAAATTTCTCAAAGAACTACATTTTTACGCCCCATTTATGGGCATTATGTTTTTCTGTCTGTGCGTCCGTTCGTTCGTCCATCAGTCTGTCTGTCCGTTCGTCTGTCCCGCTTCAGGTTAAAGTTTTTGGTCAAGGTAGTTTTTGATGAAGTTGAAGTCCAATCAACTTGAAACTTAGTACACATGTTCCCTATGATATGATCTTTCTAATTTTAATGCCAAATTATAGTTTTGACCCCAAATTAAGTAAGATAGTTATCAAATATTACATATTTATTAATTCTGTTTAAAGGAAATATGATAATATTTTTTTTTTTTATGTCAAAACTGAATCTGATACATAAAGTATATCTGAAAAAATTTTCCTATGTGCATTTGAATCTAATACATAAAGTATATCTGAAAAAAATTTCCTATGTGCATTGATCGATAGTTGAAGTACATAATATATTTTTTCCTATGTGCATTGATCAATAGTTGAAGTACATAATATATGTGTGAATGGTTGTAAAAGTATTAATATTAATTATGAATAACTTTGCTATCCAGTCATTTCCAACAAAATAAGATACAACCATTATCGTGATTATCAACAAATTTGCTAAAACATATATTTGTTAAAAAAAAAAGGAACAGTACGAGAGCTGAAGATGCAGACATTGTAAATGATTGGCACATTATAAAGTTCTCATTTACTGAAATCTGAAAAACAAGTTCATATCGAGCTGGAAACATGTAATTACAGAAAATGAAAACTCCATGGCTTGATCTTTAGTTGTGAATGGTATCTGTATCAGAAAACTCCATGGCTTGATCCCCAATTGTGAATGGTATCTGTATCAGAAAACTTCATGGCTTGATCCCTGGTTGTGAATGGTATCTGTAACAGAATACTTCATGGCTTTATCCCTAGTTGTGAATGGTATCTGTATCAGAAAACTCATGGCTTGGTCCCTAGTTGTGAATGGTATATGTATCAGTTCCATGTCCATGTAACGGTAACAGCTAGCACCTGCCACAAATTCATCAAATCAGTTTCCATAACCAGTAGTTAAGAATTGATTATTTGGAAATGTTGGAAGCAGAATTGATGTATCTTCTACATACTTATACTACAGACCATATATAGACATGAATACCTAATACATCATTTTTTGTTTTTTGTAGCCTGTTACTGTGGTAAAGATAGATTCTGTATCCACAATAAAACAGGATGTTGCAGTGAGAACTGTTTAGGAGGATGTTCTGGGGATTCTAGCATGGACTGTGATGCTTGTAAGAACGTCATCTTCACAGATCAAAGGGAATCTAGATGTCGCAATAGTTGCCCAGGTGGAACTTATATGGTAGGATGATATGTGATATTGTTAGAAGTGTTAGACATGCTGTAGTAATAGAAAAAAAATATGAAAAAAGTGTGAAATACAGTTCACCAAAAAACTATTAAAAAAAAGTATGAAGAGTATAGATTGAATCTTTAAAAAGTATACCTTGAAAAAAGACATAATCATCGGAAAACAATATCTTTGAAAAAAGTAGAATAAGGATACCTATAGTCCAGTGTGAATTTACCAGTTTATTGTTTATTTTGATAAACTTGTATTAAATTAAACATTGGTGCAATTTATTTCATTCTGTTGAATATATTGCAACCTGCAGCATCCAGACAAAACTAGATTCTAACAGGGCAAACAACAAATACAGCTCACACAGTTGAATTTAGTGCTTAAAGGCTTTCGCATTGAAACTTTTGTCTAGTTTAACTGAAAATAATTATGAAATCACTTGCTTAATAATAATTTATCTCAATTCCCAATTATGATTTTTTCAGTACAAGAACAGAAGATGTTTATTGGAGAAGGAATGTTTGAATTTGAAATTAAAATTGTTAAACGATCCAGCACTTGGAAACGATTATCCAGGGCAGTGTGTGGCTGATTGTCCAGCAGGATTTACCAGAGATAGCCTGGACAATAATAGATGCATAAAATGTAAAGATACCTGTCCAAAAGGTTAGTGACAGATCATATTAGAATTATCAAACACTTGGGCCAAAGAATGCAGAGCTTATTTTCTACATCATGCATCGAATTTTTTGTTTTTCTGCATCTTTTATTTATTTTTTTCCTTTAATTCCTCTTGGCAAGATCTACCATTGATGTGTCAGCTCTTACAGTTATTGAGCTATAAGTTGTCCTATTGAGCCTATTCACACAAAATGATATTTCATATTTATAAATAAGATGAATGATTGATTGATTGTTGGTTGCTTAATATAGGAAATACATGTAGATTTAGAACTATATGAACATTTAGTATTTATTTCATTTCATTTCAATGTAAAATGTCTTATATTTTTTTACAAAATCATAGTGTATTGTTTTGTGTGTTCTTCTTTAAATTTAAAAATTTAAATCTGATTTAATGTTTTTATTTTCTTTAAATTTCTTTTGAAAATATTGTTTTCATGAATTACTAAGATGTATGATTGTATACATGTTTTTCATCAGTTAACTAAGACATATTTGATTACATGTATTTTCATGAGTTACTAGCCTTTGTTATATATATGTTGTAGAATGTTCTGCTAAGAAAGTAGATAGTGTACAGGCAGCACAAGATCTCAGTGGTTGTACTAAGATATATGGGGCATTAGAAATCAGGATCATGAAAGGAAGTAAGTTCAGCTGTCTTAGTATTTCTTTATGCTAATATAGTATGTTCTTAACAAAGTAATTAAAGGGGCATTAGCTGTCAAATTCATGTTCACAGATTTGACTCAAATTCTGAAATTTGATTTATAACATACTAAAATGTATATCCACTATTTCGCTATTTCATTTTCATTAATGATTGAACAAATAGAAATCATATTTTGGTTTTTTTTTTATATCTAGTAGCTAATGCCCCTTTAGTTATATTAATATTCATTTTTTATACGACCGCAAAAAATTTCGCGGTCGTTACGTATATTGGTATCACGTCGTCGTCGTCAGCGTCGTCTGAAGAAATTTGGTTTCCAGACAATAACTTAAGTAAATGTAAATAGAAATCTATGAAATTTAAACACAAGGTTTATAACCACAAAAGGAAGGTTGGGATTGATTTTGGGGGTTATAGTCCTAACAGTTTAGGAATTAGGGGCCAAAAAGGAGGTGTGGGGGTCAATTCGCAATAGCATAGTGTATTGCACAAAAGCAAAAAATTGAATATAAATTCAAATCATATAACCAATTCTAAGTTCTTTGACTACAGTTATTCTGTGTCAGAAACCTATTATGTGTCAAATATTTAATTATAATCCAAATTCAGACCTGTATCAGGTACGAATATTGTGTCCATTTTTGCCCCAACTGTTCAGGGTTGGATCTCTGCGGTCGTATCCAGCTGCGCTTGGCGAAGCAATTTATTGACAATTGTTGCCATGAAAGTTGTGGCTATTGGATTAAAATTCTTAGAAGGCCAAGTTACATATATCAAAGTCCGGTCACTCTGACCTTAAATTTGACCTTTGACCCCTATGATAGTAAAACATTGACTGATTTGTGTTTGGTGCATTACTTTTGTACTGTAGCACTTAGGTTGACAAAACTTTGGATGCAGAAGCACCATACTGACCATTGCCCTTTAATTACTCAAATTTACAGTTTACAAATCACTTTGTTCCTGGGTCAGTATAATTCCTGCAGATTGACCTATCAGTACCCATGTGTCAATTTAACACAGAGGCAATGATTATATAAAATGATTGGCTAAAAACCCAAAATCTCAAAATGTCATTGCTTCAATCTTGAATTTCACAGCAACAATTAAAATGCATGCACAGGAGGTATTAGTCCGGCTATATGGGCAGTTCTAGTTTATCATATGACATTTGGCATGCAAAAGACAACCAAACTCCACATAGGACACTATACAAACTGAACATCCTCAAAATAGAAATAATAAAACACTTGGTTTATTTTATGTTTAAATTTTTTTTTTAAGTAAATGACAGGACATGAAGAGAATCACCATATTATTGCATTTGACATTACCTTAGTTAATTGATGATGTAATTAGCACATTTACAAATGACCAGTATATATTCATCTTTATCTTATTTTTACAGGCAATATACAACAAGAACTTGAGAGAAATTTAGGACAAATTACAGAAATCAATGAATATTTGTGGATTCATAATTCTCATGCATTATTGTCACTAAACTTCTTTAAAAAATTACGGGTAATTGGTGGAGAAAGTTTAGTTAATGGGTAAGTTTAATATCTATTAGAAATATAATTCCTGCTTTCAAAATGATTAATGGATTGGAGTTAATTTTTAACATCTGAATTATCTTATGACATGTATTTTATTTTGACATTTATGTCACAAGCCTTATAAGTTTGAATACAAAAAAAATATTAGAAAAAGGGCAAATTATTTCTCTGTTTATTCCTGATTCAAGAGAAGATGTAAGATAAATTCTCATAATGAACAAAAACAAATAAAGCACACACACACATCCAAAACTTATAAAATTATGTGATAATTACATGTGTCATAGCAATTGTATTTATGGTACTGATAAAGAATTATTAACATTATAAACTCTTAAAATTGATGTAGTAATTCAATATTATATGTTTTAGGTATAAATATATAAATATATCTCATTAAATTAAAAAAAATATGTTGCAGCAAACAGAAACAGCAACATACTAAAACTATAAATAGTGAATTTAGTTTAAAAATTAGTTTACATGAATTACATTTTGATATCTATTGTCATCAGAAATTTTATTTTTTTTTTCATAACAGGTTTGCCTTATTAGTGAATGATAATGAAAAACTGCAGACATTGTTTCCTAAAGATGTGGAGAACAATTTAACAATAAAAAGTGGTAATCTGACCTTTCACTACAACAGAAAGCTGTGTGTTCGCCTGATTAAAACATTTGAGAAAAATATAAAGATGTCAAAAACTGCCCCCATTCTGAATGATATCAGCAATTCTACCAATGGAGACCAAGCACCATGTAAGTATAGTGATGTGTACCCAACCTTCACCTTTCTTAAAAACATGTGTGTTTTAGTGTTTCCTGTTTCATTGTTGACAAATTATATTGGTTGTTACTTGCATGATTTTGTCAACAACCTACAGTTGAGCAGTATTACATTGTAAAGCATTTACCAGAAATTTGAGATGGACAGTTTTAAAATGTATTGATCTCTTTTTGATCCGATAAAAACAAATATACAAATTCTGTTTATATAGGGATTTATAGCTTTATTGGTGTTTATCGTCAGTAGGGTATTTTTTGTTTGCTTGCAACGAATGTCAGGAAGCAAGACGATGGGTGTTATTTTCCAGAATGTCAATTGTCAACACAGCATGTAGCTAGAATAACTTCTTATTATATATCCTTGATATTTGGTAAACAGTTGTAACAGCATCCATGCTTCTAGCTTGCATACAGTTTATTAGGGTCCACTGCCTCATTTATGCTCAATTGCAATGATATTGTAAAACATGAAAATTCAACTTCATATTTGAAAATGAATTGGCGTCAAAACAAGTCGTCATAATTTTGACAAGGAAACTGAAGAAAATGTTATTGTCTCGACCTACTAGAAATAAATAATGCTTATTGACCCAGAATCCAATCTTTAAAAGATTTCTGTTATTGATTGTAATATTGCCCTGTTTGCTGAATTATTTGTTGCTTCAATGCCTTCGTTCCTACATAATATCTTGTAATAATAAGCACCTGAATTATTTTAAGTTTTCAAATGATTTCATGATATCTGGATTAAGTATTGAAGAAAATTTTCTAACCAATATCATTTTGATTCAATGAACACACTGTCTAATATTGTTTCTAAAGAATCTTTTATGGTAGGATTTTATTAATGCTTTTGATAAGGGGAAACATTGCTAATTCTTGACATCTAAAAATATATTTACAATTCTATAAAGAAAGAGAGGACAATATATTATGTTTTATAGCTAATGTTTATATATTGCCGGCTTACATAGCAGTTGTCCATGGATAAGAGTGAATTATTAAGAAGCATGGATAAATAATTTGATACCATTTTGTGCTCCAGAGCTGGCCACTCCTTTATTCTGCCTGCTTTTAACTTTTCTGTTTAATAATAAACATCCAGACAGGCACTTTGAAATTTTTGGACTACAAACTTAAGGTGAGCGAGAATGCCATAGTTAACACAACCGTTGTAGATACTTCTTGTAAAAGAAGTAAGCTGAATGAATATATATGACTATTAATCTTTAAGACATGCTGTACACAGACTGAATCTTCATTGCAGGTCATGTATCAACATTGAATTTAACTGTGTTCCAAGTAACTGGACATGTAGCTTTCCTGAAATGGGATAGATACAAAATGGGAGACACACGGGCCCTGATCAGTTACGTTATCAAGTATAAAGAAGCGTAAGTAGAACTGTATGGTCAAATTATTAGTATTTAAGGTAGTACCTAACACTACAGGGAGATAACTCTGTAAAAATCAGCTAAACGTTTTAATTACGTTGTATTGTGAAGGAAATATTAAGCTTCTCAATGATCAAAATTAGTGTTTGTCAAACTGCTATATAACCAATGAAATTTTTCTGATAAAATGGTTGGTTCAAATTTTTTGAAATTTTTATATTTTTGTCAAAGGGTCAAAGTAAACATTTTATCAAAATTTTATGAAAATTAAACGAGCCAAATTAATATTAGTCAAGGTGTTGGGTACCACCTTAACTTTATTAATTTTGCCTGGTGCTTTTTTGGCAGTTAAATGAAATTATCAGAAGCCCTTACTTTACACGTTTGACTGTTTGGCATCAATACAAAATAAATTAATTTGAACAATTTCAAATAATTGATGCTACTTGGCTAGTTCACTTTTAGACTCAGATGTAAAATACATCTTCAAGTATGAAATTGTGAGTAAAGATAGATACCTGTATAATTAAATTTGTACAGTTTCATTTCAATACATCTTAATGGTCAAAATTACAAAAGGCAGTAATTTTTTTTAATCCATTCTGATGAGTCTAATGTAGAAAAAAATACTTGTCTGGCGTACAAAAATGTAAGCCTGGTGTCTTTGATGAGTTTTCACAGAGTAGGAGATCTCATTAGTAATGTCATTTCACTAATTTGCATTATATTAATTAATTGGCAATATTAAAAAAAACACTGTTATGTTCAACAGCATACCAAGAAGAAAAATTATTCCAATGTCTTTTAGGTTTTTGTATTGATGGTGTTCTGTCTCTTGATGTATGCCATGTAAACCCCATCATCACTTTTATTCATAGAAGATAGAATAATTATGAATTTTAAGTTTTCTTTTTCAGTCCATTCCAAAATGTATCAATTTTTGAAGGCAGAGATGCATGCAGTGATGATAGGTAAGTCCTCAGTATGGAATGATAAAGAAACAATTATTATTGATTGGACGCCGGTAAGAAACTCATCTTACAAATTGTTCAAGCCAGAATTAATTTACCAAAAAACCCAGCGTCTTTGCATAATGATCTTAATGCATGTTGTGTCACTTAGAAAATGTAGGGATCACCTGTCTAATCTTGTGTTTTTGACGCTGTTGTAGTCCCTATTTTTTGTTCATCTGCAAAATGACTTTACAAAAATGGACCAAATTTTTTAACAGATTCTTCTACAAGACATCAAGTTATTCATCCTATATTTTAATTTTTTAAATGAGTTACTTTAAGTTTCGCATACCAATACATAGGTATAAACCATCTAGATAGTTATATTATCGAATTTTTAAGTTCTTGCTGAGGCACAGATAAATCCAAAAATACACTGGTATCAATGTAAGAATCTATATTTATTCTTGAGTCCACGAAATTATTGAGTTCAAATAAAATTGAGAATGGAAACGGGGAATGCATCAAAGAGACATCAACCTGACCAAAGAGCAGAAAACAGCCCAAAGCCATCAATGGGTCTTCAACACAGCGAGAAAATCCCTCACCCTGAGGTAAGCTTCAGCTGGGTTATTTTGCAAACAGTGAACCACATTTGCCTATTACTTTCATTTTATTCTGTTCACATTCTTTTGAAAGAAATGCTATTATTTAAATCATGTTTTATTGGTGCAGCTTACATTGCCTTTAACCATAAATATATAGATTGGTTTTGAAAAATGAATGATATATTTTCCAGTTGGAAGACACGTGATATTTTAAACAAGAACACAATGAAGAACAGTAAAACTATCCCAGCTTTGTTGGTACAGTTGAGACCATGGACACAGTATGCTGTGTTTGTCCAGACATACATGACATCCAGTACCCAGTATGGAGCCATGAGTAAGCTTATCTACTTCAGAACAGCTGCCAGTAGTAAGTATTACATTACTCTAGAATTTGTACATATCATGCTGTTGTAAATCTGAAATTAGTTAAGTTACTTTGCTGTTATTATTAATAGTTTTTTCAGTAAAATTAGCTGGTATCTGGAAGTAAGACTTGCATTAGTTGTCATAATCAGAATTTTCAAACTGTATGGTTTCTGAAACATAACTGCAGACTGTATTGAACATTGGAAGGCCCACTACAAACAATCTTCATGTTTTATGTGGATTAAGTTTAAAGCTTTGTGACAATGGTCACACATTGTTTATACAAGAAAATCACATATATAGCTATTTTTCTTAAAAATAAAAACTCAGCAAAAATAAAAATTTGGAAGATTTATTGTTTTTGTTGAGTTCTTATTTTTATTATGTCAGCCTAAATTAAAGTCAGGTGACATATTGTGATTTTCTTTTTTGATGTTACCCAAAAGGGAAAGTAGGATGACATACTGTTATTCCTCTTTTTCTTTTTTTCTATTATTATGTTTAAGTTGATCAAATTATTCTTAACATTGAATCATGGACATTTCATTTGAATGATTTTTTTTTTTTTATCTGTAACAAGTTTTTTTATGGTAGCAAATGAATATTGCTGGGCTGAATATGTCCTTTTTCAAAATCAAGCTCCACATTTATTTTCTTTCTTTTACCTGCATTAACAAAATTAAATGGTTTATAGTGCCAACTGTCCCTGCTAATCTGAAAGCCAGAGCTGTTCAGCCGGGAGAGTTGCATGTTACATGGGATCCACCAAACCAACCAAATGGAAATGTTACTCATTATGAAGTTTACTGGAGACGGAGGGAGTTGGATCCAAGATCATATGCTCCTAGAGATTACTGTCACAATCGTGAGTTAATCATTAAAGACAAAGAAATACATAGGATATGTATCCTATAAGGCAGCATTTATATATATATGACTCAGTTGATAAGATTTGGTAAATTTCAGATAGTTTTAATAATTCCATTTTGACGGTAGCTTTCTTGATTTAAAATGATGTATCTTCAAAAGCATCATTGAACAGATGATAATTTTAGCACCACCTACTTATTAGTTGATCAAAGTCATTCCAGTGTTAAAAGTAGAAAACAAGCCTGATTTACAAAAGGGATGTAATATAAGCTGGTTATAGATTTAGGTATAACAATTCAAACATCTTAAACATTGTAGCACTGGCAACATATAGTAGAGAGGAAGAAGATAGGGAAAAAGAAGAAGAAGAAAAGAAAAACAATCCAGAATTACCAAAACAAGGAAATTGTGCATGTGAAATTAGCAAAGAAGAGTTAGAAGAGGAGGTCAGGGAGCGTAACTTGCAAATTCAGTTTGAAAATTTTTTGCATAACAGCGTTTATTTGAAAAGGTAGTTTAAACATTTATTCTTATTGTAAGTTAAGAAATATGAATAATATAAATATCATTTTCAGTATAAATGAACAATATACTGGCCAACAAAGAAATTCAGTTCAATTTCAATTTCTGTTTCGAAGGGAGTTCCAAAGATTTTTGATAAAAGTATATAACAAATTTGTGTGTACTCCAGAAAAATAGGATTGCTTTTTTCTGTCAATGTAACCTGAAGTAGGGGCATGTTTTTTTGGAAATAGTAAGACTGTGTTCTGGAGAACAGTGATTAGTTGGTTGTAGTAAAGTGTTTACATACAAGCAGATTTTTTGATAATATGACAAGACTAGGCTACATTTAGCTATGACTGTCAGCTTTAATTTGGGTGGTGTACCTGAATTTCACTACAATGGATAGCCTAAATGGGCGTCAATGGCTATTATTTATAATGAAATCCAAATTATATGAAGTGTTCATCCAGCCTGTTATTAAATGTTAAGATATTACATTGCTCTACAGTTATGGAATACAAGAATAGTGTCCAAAAATTTCAGATAAAAATATATGACCTTTTAAACAGAAGATTTAATTTCAATGGATTTCTAGTCATTATAATTACAGTTGACGGTACTTTGACTAATGTTAATTTTTCCCTCCATAACTGTCAAGAGATGATAGGAAAGAGTAAGTACTCTTGGTTCATACTGCATGATAGAAAGTCCATTGGTTGTTCCATATTTAGGAGAAAAAATTGATGGAATGATCTTCGGACCTTTTAAATGTTGTTTGCATCCAGATTATATTTTCTATATTTGTTTTTTAAAAGAATATAGGATTTCATGCATTAGACTGAAATAACCTGTTGTCATGACAAATCTAGATATATAATAAAATATTCTACGGGTTTTAATAGCTAGTATTTGACTTACATCACATGTTTAAATGGTAAAATTATATAGACCTTTCTGAACCTTTTTTAGCCTCAACGTTGCGGTCATATTTGTTAAACTTAAATTATAATTAAAAGAATGTTAGAACAAGTAAGGTAATATTTTTTTGTTCCTACTCTAGTAAGTAAGCCCAAAATGTGTCCCAGTAAAGAATTTTGTTTTATATTAATTTTACTTTCTTTAAAAATGACTTTCAATTAAGTATCCATTATTTGGATGAATAATGCATTTTGCAGCTTAGGATACAAGAGAAGTTACAGGATTGAAACTGTTCTGAATTTCAGTGTTTATTGAAGACAATTGTTGATGATAATTAGATGGGGTTCTGGCTGGCTAATATTTACTAACATTTTTGATCTACATCATCTTATTGTTTGATTAGATAGAGAGGTTTTGGGATTACTAAACACTTCAGAATTGTGGTGAAAGGATAAATCTTTAAACACTGTTCCTCTTCAAACTGCTTTTGTAGTTTAATTTGACAACTCAACTCTCTCCCCCTTAAAAAAAACTCTTAGAGCTAACTTTCTAATGCTTGTAGAGTAAGACTTTGGTTGGCTTGCTTGTTTTGTAAGAGTAAGACAGGTTTAACTTCCGCCTATTTATATTGTTTGCAGATGTCAATCTTAATTACAATGCTTGAGCAAGCATTTATACAAAAAAAGCAAGCAAGCCAACCAAAATCTCACTCTACAAGCATTAGGAAATTAGCTCTAAAGCAAATGTGAACCTTATCTCAATATGGATATCAGTCTAGATGGAACATGGGATATCATAAATTAGGCATGATATCAACATTAGTTAAGGCTTTGAAAATAAGAGGAACAGTGTTATGATTTCTAGGAATGAAAGAGAGTATAAAACAATATTATGACAAAGTTTTTAATGAGAACCGACGTCATGCTTGGTGTTGAATGCAAAGTAATTTTAACTTAGCTTTGCAATAAGTTAACGAGAAATTAAGCTATCATTAAATATGCATTTTCATTATAGCTGACTTTAACCCTCTGATACAATGCAAAGGATCATCAAACTTTTGTGTCATATATATGTTAATTGTAAGATCACAGTAACCTATTTACTAAAACATTGATGTTATCATATTCTTCATAAAACATTGTTATTGTCTCATTGAAACCATTTTCATTTTAGGTGCTCTATGTTTTTGCAAACTGCCAAGATTTGTATATAAAAGTACATTTTTTTTTTATTAAATACCAAACTATAGGAAATTTGGCATATTCTTAGAATACATGCAACTTTCATAACCCTTGCCTTTTTAATAATTAGAAAAACCCATAGTAACCTACAGAATTTGAAATCTATTTACAGTACTTAACAGGGGAACAATATTTTTGTAACAAATAATCAAGTTTAGAATGCAGAATGAATGGTTGGGCCATTGTCAATAAAGTTAAAGTTAATAAATTTTGAATCTATTTCTTTTATTAAACTAATAACGTATTCTTGCAAGTTCTTCTTGTATTGGATATTGATGAACTGATGTCTTCAATAAGTAAATATAATTATAATTATTTTAGATGTTCAACCAGTAGAAGGTATAATTTCAGTACATATCAAAAACTATCTATAGCATTTAACACAGCTTCAAGTTATCTTGCATTTAAAGGAATGGGTTGAAAGGATATGCATGTGTCGAAATAGACCCCAAATTGTTTAAATGCAAGTAACTATGTAATGCTTCGTAAAATAACAATTTGAATAGATAATAGAGTACTTTACACGGAATTTACAAGAAATTATATCCTATTTTCCACTGAGTTTTATATCTGACTTGTATGACAAAGTCAGTTTGACATATCAGCTGCTGTCAACTGGCAGTACTTGATTACATGATTAGCTTGCATATAATTCATAGAGAGGTAGTACCTATTCCCAACTCAGCTTATGCCTGGAATCATATAAAAAAGGAGATTTCTAACAAATAAAAAGTTGTAGATTTTATTATACATATTAATTGTAGGTTTATTTAATTTGGGTCAGTGTTGATTAGTGTGTTATTTGTTCTGCTTCAGTATACAGCCAGAGACAAGCGTCTTCAGTCATGGCAATTGCCTTCAATGTTTTGTTGAGTGACTTGTCTATGTCTTATGCTGTGTGGCTAGAGTTCCTTTGGCAAATCAAAGGCATTGCAGCGATCACAGACTTAGATGCTGAGGTTAAAATCTAGGACAAAAAGCTTATAGTTCTAACTGTATTGACAGTTATTTGCCGAGATATTGCATGTGTACATATATTTGGTTCTAATACTATTTAAAAATAATTATTTTTGTGAACAATTATAATTTGGCTTTAAATATATAGATTATAAGTAGCCAAGTATATGTATATGTTAAAATACTGCCGTGCAAGGCAGAAAGCACAATAATTATTGCTGAAAAAAAATGCTGACAGATTTGTAATTTATTGCTCTTTTTGCATACAACAGGGATCAATATCGGTAAGTAGCGAGTGCGATACACAAATCGTTTGCAACTTTTAGCTGCACAATCATTCTATTTGTCTTCTTTTTCTGCTGCCAAACCAAAAGCTCGCCTGATAGTTCCTCTTTAACATTTTGAGTTATAAAACTGTGTTATACCAGTAAGCTATGACTAAATACATGATTTGTAGAATTAACATTGGATTGTAAAATAAGTAGATAGTCCTACAATTATTTCATTAATTTGTTATATGTCTGACTACTCCTTATTTACTGTTAGGAATAACATTATTTTCCATGTAGTAGATAAATATTCATATTTCATTGATTGTTATTCCTCATCTACCAATATTTAAATTCAATGCATTCAATGGGCTGTCTGGTTTTTTAAATCAAATAGTTCATTTTGTATAATAAAATTGATCATCAATTCATACAATGTTATTTTCCATGCTTTTAGATTTGTTTTAGTTACTTAGCGGTTTTATTGAAAACTTGAGAAGTTGACTTGTTTTGTGTGTTGATAGATACATGTAGAAGATGAATGTTTTAGTCATAGCTTGTTTGGTTTTTGTCCATAATACCACAAGTAACCGTCTATTATGTTGTTCATTCACCATCAACCCATCTCAAATATTCAAATTCATTCAATATATGTTTGAAAAAAAGTATATATTTCATCTGCAACAATAACCCCTGCTTGGCATTGATAACGTTTCCTTAAATATTAAGATCCATAAAAATAACTTTGAACTTGCTAATTTTTAATCACATTGTAAACCTTTCTGAATTTTTTGAAAGACTAAGCAGCATGACAATCATTCTAAAATCAGTTATGCAATAAAAACAAGGATTTTTGAAAGTCGTTCCATTAAAGCATAAATGGTAACTCAGGAAAGGAATGATACTGAAATTTTATTTTGTGGATAGGTGCATTTGAATTTCATTTTACAAATTTTTTCAGAACAAAAAACATGTACTTGAATTTCTACTGTTCCATTTATGCTGATTACTGCTTTTAAACATGGTAAAATTGGTCATGGATCACAACATGCTTATATAATGACATTGACTGAATTCCAATACAGTATTTCCCATTCTTTCTTCTCTATTTTCTTGAATCTGTACTATCCTCAGTTTTAGTAATCTTGCTTGAATTCCTGCTCAAAATATTTCCTTCCATGTCCCAATTGTATATGAAGAAGTTTAGAATATTACTGAATGAACAGAATCCTTCTTTGATGGATATGTTTCTTATCATTTAAGATCCCATCTTGTTTTATAGATGAAAATTGGTATCATTTTTCAAAAGATGTTTTAAATCATAAATTGAAATGAATATTCTTTTTTTTTTAAAGTCAGGATAAACTGTTTGAGATAGGGTTTCACCAATGTATTGACGTTTTTAATATCACTGAATATTGGTAATTTGTCTCTTGATGAATACTGCTGAAATTTCCAACTATCCAGCTATCTATCTTTAGGAAAATGATAATCTCTTCAATAGATATAACTTTCATTGATAATTTGATTTGATTTTGAGCATGTTCAATAAATTTAACATAATTACCAGAGATTATAAATGCTTTATTTTGTTCTTAATATTATTTAAGAAGAGACAGAAAATTGTGTATGATGTGGGATTTTGATACTGGATACTTTTTCCTTTTAACATCCATGAAAACCTGTTAATAATGTTAATACTTTAGTTTTATATAGTTCGGGAAAAATTTAGTTTGAGAACTCATCCTTTAGAATCCCAAAAATTTTGTTTTAATTAGTTTTGTTTGGTGACCCAATAGTTATGTTATTTTTTTCGCAGCAAGGGCAAGTCTAGACGTCCAAGACAGGCAATGTATGTTCATAGTCTGGTTTCTTGTTCCAATCTTTCTGGTACCTGCCATATACAAAAATGATGCAGGCATTTGCCATTTTGAAAATGATTTTAAGTTGTGATGTTTGTGTTGTGAATAAGAAATCATTTTCATTATGGTAGCTCTGTTTTAATGTTATGTACAGACAGATACCAGGAAATTCAAGACAGAGCTCAGTCTATTTGTTTTGTAACTTGACTGTTGAAATTTTTCTATATATAGGGCAAATTCAGGAATAATATTTTTGCTAGTTATATTTAAAATGAGATTAATTGCAGTTTTTCTTTTTTACCTTAAGTTAAAGAAAAAGTTTGAAAAAGATCACGAGTGTGTTTGTGACTTTTTAGTTTGGATACTTGAATCTGCCCTTAGCAACCTTAGATATCTTCATTGTAACAATTATCTTGAATTGAACATGAGAATGACTACCTGTATCCCTGCTAGTTATACCCTATCTGGTACCCTTTATCATAACCAGGAACTTTGCCAGGACCTTTGTGGTGGAATTATGCATACATACATATACACAGATTTTTATGATTCAGGCATGGATATCTCTAGTTAAAATCATTTTTGTACTTTTTTCACAATTTTATCTCAAGCTAGAAATAGTATTTATTTGTAATAATCTTAGTAGGAACGATTTTTTCAAGTTTAGTTTGAAATGAGGTTTTGGGAATTATGATTTGGTCATTGGGTACATCTCTAGTTGAATAATTTTTGTACTTCTTTTTACAATTTTATCTTGAACTATGATTTTTTTTTGGGTATAATCATGATAATTATAATACATGTAGTAGGAATAAAAATTTTCATGTTTAGTTCAAAATAAAGTTTCGGAAATATATTGTTATTAAGATTTAACAAATGCTTAAAATAGCTTTCATGAGTTTCAATGTTGGGAATTCTCCAGATGCTTGCATTGAACCTTTCATTCTGTTGCAGTGAATTGAATGGGTTTAACTATACATTGTGAGTGAAAAACACCAAACTATATTCTTTGTTTACTTTGTTCTTTAGCGCGAATATGCACATAATGGTATTGTTGTACTTACTCTGCAGCAACAATAAATGTCCTTTTTATCTTGTTTGTATGTCACGATGTTTGTCTGTGAGTGTGTTGTCCAAAATATTTGTACTGTGTAAATTGTGATGCCATAGAATTGAAATTACAAAAAGTTAAGATGCTAAAAAATTTGCATACAAAAAGGAACTTTTTGACATATTATAAAATTTTCTGTTAAATGTATTAGAAAAAATGACTAATAGATAAATTTATCCTGACATGTCCAGTTGCTATAATGGATGGATTACACTTTCTATTAATTTTGTATGTAGATCATATACAAATTTTCTGGGAAAGTGTATTCCATGCAACACAATACACATGACATGCTTTGATAAAATTTGGAGGTCTAAATTGTAAAATTTTGAAAATGCAGAAATTTTTATATACATGTCATATATAGCTTTATCTGCTTTGTATTTTATTGTTTAAATATTTATTTTTCATTTGACCTGATCCTATAAATAGTATGCTATTTTTATTTTCAAATGTATTTTAAGTATTTTAGTCGATCAAATTATATTTATAGATATTTATTATGGTACCAAAAAAAAAAAAATGCAACCATACCAAAATATTTATTTCTCGTTGACTTATACGATGTGTATGATTTTAAAACTAACAGCATGCCTGTAGATAGAAAATATTTGTATATGTATGATTTTATTCCTGTTTCAGTTTTAAGGGTGGTATCCATTATATTGATATTTGATTCTTTTCTTTTGGTTCACACATTTCATTAAAAAAATAGTGTTCACACAGAACCTCTAATTTTTAGTGTATTCAAGAAATGAATGAATTACTTATAATGGGAAACACTCTCTATATGAATGTTACTCTGCATGAATATTCCATCCTATAATTTAATGGTGTATTTAAAACTTGCTTCAAACAATTTGTTTCAGAAATTTAATTGTTGTTTTATTTGCTTGTAGAAAAGTGATGAAGAATAAACTTTCTGTTGATATTAACAAAGAATTAACATTTAACATTTAGCTGTATGTTTTGAGTTCCATCCAAGCTTTAATTCAGTTGCTCCCGTTCTTTATACCCTTAGTAGTAGATATTCAGGCATTATAATATGTTCAAAAACAGTCACTGCCCTATCCTCCTGTTATAACACACTTGCAGTTTTATTTGCTATACAAAGACTCCCACAAGTCGTGAGTGCTAAATGTGCTTATGTGAAAAGAAATTATACTCTCAAAAGGTTTTAACACCTCTTACAATCATGTTGCAGTCATTCAGATACTTATTTTGTTTTGTTTTGTACCAATTACCTGGTTTTCCACAGATGATTTCTTTTATTAAAGCTGTGCTCTGACTTTTGCATTATATTTTCAAGAAATGTTTAAGTTACTAAAATAAATTTCTAGATTTTTACAGAGCTTAACTACACTGAAAACAAAGATGATAAAATAAAAGTTACATACACTTGTTACTTGTAACAGATCTTCCTCAATCTTCACACATTTATTCTGGGCAAATTAGTCATAGGTTATTAATTTTCAAGTTCAAAGGTCAATGCTAAAGCATTCATAATAATAGGAGACAAAATGGTTTGTTATACTTGAAGTCTGCACCCAGTTTGATGCAGTGGTTCATTGTTGTCAGATCATGATCTAAAATAAGGTCAGAGTTCAAGGTTACTGGATGTTTGTATGAAAACTAAAGCTTTCAATCAATTTTAACAAACTCTTCACCACCAGCTCTTGACCATATTAAGAGGACACACTAGAGCATGTAGAGTAAAGGATGGAGATAGAAGATGGCAAAGTATGCTATTCAAATTTAAAACAATGTCACTCACCTTGTTTGGGTGGTACTTTTGGGGGTATTATAGACCAATATTCAAATTCAGAATCTAATATTAAACAATAAAGTTTCAAAGGTTGGATCATTTCATTGAAGGAATTGTCAGAATCCATGTAATTGGTACAAACTACTGAATAATTTATCTTTACCATTACTTACCTTACCCAGTAGTTAGGATTATTTTCTTTAATTTAAATGATTTTGAATGACATTTGTTATTAATTCTTGCTTAGTTTACTGCATGGACAAGTTCTGTTGCAGGCTGTTCACAAATGATTCTTGCATACATGTTTTGGCTGTAGATGTTTTATCTGTCAGTCTCTTAAAATTGAAAAGAATTTATGTGCAACATATTATACTGAATTGGTCTTTTCTGAAAATTAGGCTGTATGTTTATGCTTACATTGCTCTATATTTATAAATGTTTGAAATTTTTATTGGAATTTTAGAGTGCATGAGTTAATTGAAAAATCTTTCTTTTGTTGATATATAGACCTGATAGGGTAACTCGACAGAAGTCTTCGAGGGGGAATAAAACAAAACAAATAAAAAGGAATAAACGTAATGTATACAAGGAGATAGTGGATCCAAGAGAATTTGAGAAGTACAAAAGGAGACGAGAGATACCTCCTGAAGCATTATCCTATAATACTACTGAAACCATTGGTCCAGTTAATGTAACAGAAGATGAGAAAGAGGACATTCCCCAGGGGACAACAGAACACACAGTGCTGAGGGCTGTAGTATATTCCAGAGAGTTTATCATATCAAATCTGGGACATTTTGAAGATTATAACATAGAGGTATGTTTGATTTATACAAATACAAAGGAACAATGTTTTAAATGTCACTAAATTAAATTTTGTAGAATTACAGAACCTGTGGCTAGTTTTAAGTGATTACTACCTTTATATAATTTGTTTTTGTAATGTTATATTGTAGTGATTGGAGCACTTATACTTGTTGACAAGTGACATTGTAATTTTTTTTTTTTTTTTTTTAACTTTTAGGTTATTGCTTGTCAGGAACGTGATCATAGAGACCCAGATAAAGTCAAGTACTGCAGTAGCAGGGCTCTTACTGTTGGTCGAACTAAAAAATCTAGTAAGTTGTATTTGCACATTCCTATTATAACAACTTCAGTCTTTAAGGTAGAGAGAGACTTTAGAAAGAATCTAATACTGGTATAGAAATCAGCAAGGGAGAATTGATATTGTGAAAATTCCACATTTTCCATTACCATTGTTTTATATAATACATGTACATAAAAAGTGATAATAGGAACCACAAGAGACTGCACAGTACCACAGACCACATCAACCACCAAGAACCAATTCAGACATTTAGTTTCAATCACTGGACATGCTTAGCACATGCACATTCCAATAATGATTTGCAAGGAAATAATACATCAGCATTGTTATTTTAGCTTATTTTGAAAAAAATTGAACCTAGCTGACTGCTATTATAAATAGCAAAATATTTTTTCAATATTCTGCTTTTATAAATGTTTAAAACAACACAAATTTTTGACTAATTGTAGCTCTTTCCCCTTTAAATATTGATAACAATATTTGTATTTGGAATTTCCTGAAATTGTATTGATTAATCTCACATTGCCGTACCTGACTCAAAAATTGCTGTAAAATTTTGGAATAGAAATTTGTGTACTTTCTTTGTTTGTGTAGATCCAGTTTTAAATGGAGGAAATTTATTAAGAATGAATTATAATACAATTATTTTAAAATGACCTTTCTTTGTAGTTACTGCTGACAACTTGAACTCTCACACTATTATGGCAGAAGCACAACAAAATAAAACAGGAACTGTGCTCATTAAATGGAAAGATCCTCTAAGTCCTAACGGTCCAATTATTAAATATATGGTGGAGTACAGTAAAGGGGGATTAGTAGAGGTGAGTCAATATACCGTAAATTGGTATATTTTGCGTACTAACTATACAATAAGTGTAAAAAATATTTTCACACATTCTGTTAAATTATTATTCTCCTCATCATTGTCATAAATCTTGCATTGATCATTTTGATGAAAAATGGTTAATTTTGGAGTGTGTAATTATTTTGTCACTTATAGCTAAGATCTCCAATAAACCCCAAATATGACTACAGCCAAAATATGCCAATATAAGGTTTAATAGTCTGAATATCAAGTTTATGAACACGATCAAAATAGTAGTTATAATCCAGTTATTGGCATGGATCTAATGAGAAAATATCATTACTATGTTTGGATTAATATCTCCTACCAGGATAAATCTTGCTGTTTACTTTATTGATTAAGTTACTGATTAGTAAATGATGTTATTAAGACATGCCTAATTGAAAACAAAATCTGATGACAAGTATAATCTGAAAGTTCTCTATTGAACATATGGGACTTCCTTTGTTTCACCTTGAGATTTTCTTATGATTCATCTTAAGCAACCAACAATCAATCAATCTTACCATTCATCAATTTTTTTGTCTCACCTGACAAGACATAGATGTTGTTTTTCTGACAATATCGTTGTGAGCGTCAACAATTGTTAAGTTTTCTGCTTAAGTTAGTTTGATAGGAACTACTTGTGATTGATTAGTGATATTTCCTATATAGTTGCATTACTATCAGTTTGATGACTATTTTGAGGATTTCCCCCTGGTCATGGTCCAGTGACTGAATAATTTAAGCAATTTTCAGTATTAATTTTTCTGCTTAAGTCAGTTTAATAGGAACTACTTGTGATAGATCAATGATATTTTCTATGAAGTTGCATTACTATTGGTACATCTCAGTTTTTAGACTATTTTGAGGCCCTGCCCCCTAGGTCATGGTCCAGCAACTTTGAATTAATTAGCTTTGTTGCTGTCCATCAGATTGTCTATTTCTGAATTTTCTACCTATAGGTGAGACATATCTCTGTGTCAACAGTCAATTATTAGTTTGTTTTTGTTAATAAAAAATCATAAATTGTGACGTTAGAATTTTGTATCTTTTTGGATCAAACGTTAACACAATTTTTTTTGTATTTCCTAAAAAAGTGGACAGTTGTGATTAGACATATAAGAGAATAAAGTAAGTTTTATTTGATGGAAATAAGTATTATGAAAAAGGCAATACAGAAATGTTGGTATGGAAAAAGATTGAGGAACTTCTCTTAAAAACTTGTTTGTCATTGTAGTGTTTGAAACATACAAACTTTTAGGCACTGCAGGATAAAATAGAAAGTGCGTCCCAACCCCTAAGAAGTTATATCTTGAATAGCCCTTAATGGCATGTTCTAGGCAGCACTGTAACCAAACATTGTTCTGTTTCAGAATCCAACCTCACTCTGTCGTACATATCAGCAGTACAGGAAACACAACGGGACAATAATTCCTACATTACCACCAGGCAATTATTCGTACAGAGTACAAGCTTACTCACTGGCTGGTAATGGGTCATGGTCAGAAGTTAGATGGTTCTTTATCTCAGATAAGCAAGGTTAGTAAAATATTATACCCAACTTGAAATTAGTTTGAAGTTTTAATATGAACAAATGTCTTAATTCATCATAGTAAATATGCATTCTATGTTATGTTAAGGCTTTCTATAGCTGACTATAAGGTATGGGTTTTGCTCATTGAAGGAGGTACAAGTGACCTATAGTTGCTTAAATCTGATTCATTTGGACCCCATTGAATAGTTGTCTAAATGGCAATCCTACCACATCTTCTTATTTTATATTGGTCTCTATACCAGTATTTGGAAAAACATGTTTTTATGTGACCTTATGGGTAATACTTTTATAACTTTTGTAGAACCATCCTGGTCGAGCTCCACCATTATAGCAGTATCTGTTTCATCAGTACTTCTGATCATTTTATTCGGTGTAATAGTGGTATGGTTAATAGCAAGGAGCAGGACAGATAAAATACCAATTGAATGGCATGTATCTACTGTAAATCCAGATTATATGCAAGATTATGATGGTAAGTAGTTGTTATAAATAATTCTGAGACTATTCCTTCAAATCTCTACTTTTTCATTAAGAAATCATTGAATTTCTGTAAGTGAACTACCAGTGGAAGTGTTACTTATCTCTGTGTAGACTTCTGTTATTAATTTGAATTTTTAAGGAAGTCGAAAGTGATTATTGTATTCCTCCCATGAGGTGTCTTGGAAGTTTAAACTTGAGTGTTCTTTTGTTTATTTATAAGATTAAAAGTAATGAGATTTGTACAAAATAGTCAGTCCTCTTGCACACTGGTTCATTTTGGAACAATCTTTATATTGTATAGAAAAAAACAGAAGATGATTTTTTTGGTGTAAAAAAATCTACAGAATTGTAATGCTTATATTTTTTCCAATTTTAGCTTATATACCAGATGAATGGGAAGTTGAAAGAGATAAAGTGTGTTTGTTACGAGAATTAGGTCAAGGGTCATTTGGAATGGTATGGGAAGGTAGAACAAAGGATCTGGTAGAAAAAGGAAAGGAAACATTAGTAGCTGTAAAGGTAAACATGTTAAAGATAGTTGTAAATAAAAAGCAATGTAGCTTTTAATGTAAAGGGACTAACAATAAAGAATATCAGTTTCATTTCCAAGTCATGAGAGAATTTGTGACTCTATAGCTCGGTAAAAAGACCTTTAATATTAAAGGCTGTTATTTGTATTTTTTTTTGAAATTTTTCAATAGAAAAGAAAGAATATGGGGTATTCAGCTATGCCAAATAATCAGTACATGCATAGCAAAAAACCCAAAAAGCAAAGGAACAGCTTTCAAGCATTTATTTTGTCTTTTGATCTTCTTTTTTCAGACTGTCAATGAAAATGCAGATTATCATCAAAGGGGAGCATTCTTAAAAGAAGCATCAATAATGAAGTAAGTACGACTAAGTTAGTCTGAGATTGCTTAGCTCTCTAACAGCCTGTGTTTTTTTCAGTCACAGATAGTCCCAAAACAATGGTTAACAGAGGAATTTCAATAGATTAGCAAAGATTGAAGCTTACAAGATAACATTACTACAAATTAAAATGAACAGACTCAAAAATGTAAACCAGAAAATAACCCTGCTCAGCATCTCAAGTACTGATGTTTATTAAATCAGGCATAAAGAGAAAACAGTAGTTAGACGAACATTCTCATATGGGCTTTTTAAATGCTGCTTATAATATTGGGACAGAACAAGTTCAGTGTCTGAAAGTTTGAATTCAAAACCGTAAAAGACGATTTTTTTCTCATAAAAACGTATGAAAATTGAAATCCAGTAAAATATTGACATGCACATGGTACTTATTGAATATTCAAAAAGATTAGAAAACTTTGGATCTTTTTGACAGTTGTAACTTTTTTGTAGGGGATTTAAGTGTCATCATGTTGTGCGGTTGCTAGGAATTGTTTCGCAGAGTCAGCCTGCACTTGTCATAATGGAACTAATGACTAATGGAGATCTGAAAAATTATTTACGAATGAGGAGACCTGATAATGAGGTAGGTAAAATAATGTCAAATAGGTATTAAAATACTGTTTCCCAGTTTTTTTTTGCATCAGATTTTTTTTTGCAATTTGATGACAAAATGGGTAGGTTAAGTTTTCACTGTGGCCAATTTTCACTGCTTGTAAAAATTCACGCGAAAAAACACTGCAGTGTATTATAAAAGATGTTAACAACATGATCACTGAGAGATAATCAATGACAAATAAATACGAGTACTACAGACTAAAATACACATAATTTGAATGATGGTATAACAGAGCATTTTTAACGCATATGTATGCAAATATCCGTGTAAATGGATTTTATTTGAAATTGGAAATTTTAACCTTTTATGCAAAATGTTCAGGTTTTTACAACAATCAATAGATCATCGCTAATTAACATTAATGAACATTGTCACTGATTGGTGTTTTGTCAAAAGGTATGACATTTATGATTTGTCGATTTAATTATTATGAAAACAGAGATCTTAATTAAATATGCACATTCTTGTGATCTGTCTATCAACACAAAAGACTGATTTTCTATATATTGTTTACACATTAATTCCATGTATACCAATACTTGATAATTAACTGTATAATGTATCAAACGTTTAAACAACGATAAATTTTGGAATAAATATGGAAATTTATGTGGTACAAATTATGTGTTTCTTTAGCTGCCGCAAACAAAGCGAAAATAAACACACATGAAAAAAAAACATATACTGTTATGTGTACAAACAAATTTACTGTGTTCAAATTGTAGATATATATATATATATATAAATATGCAAGTTCTGTAATAAAGCAAAGTGCAGTATGGCCAAGTAAAAAAGTAGGCTTTTAAAATAAAAATTTCTAGTATGATTATAACATTTAGACAGCACAAGTCTTCGTGTTAAAATTGAGAACAACTTGCAGGCAATGAAGAACTTGATACTATGGAAAGAATTAAGCTCCTCCAAATGATTATCTACAACCATGTTTTAAAGCATTGTTACTTGTTATTGTTGTCCCCTAATATAAGAAGCACACACATAGTGATACTTCCATCATCCTGTCTTTTTACGCTGTTATTTCAATCCATGAAACTTCAAGGTCAATAGGTCCAAGGACACAGTTATCGTCCGTTGGTTTTCGTTGTCTACGAATATAGTCCCTAGTGTGAACAGTGTATAACTTGCATTTTTTTTTGATACACTTTCCTAATTTATTTCTTGATATTTTATGCATGAAATATTAAGTAAGGGGATAAAATTACATGTTAAAAAAATTTGGGTGCTGAATCTTTATGTTAAGTAGTGATTTGGTCCAGTTAAAAAAGGTCATAAATTAGAATGTCTGAAGCTGTCAAACTGAATTTTAGCCCCCCCTGAACACAGAATTGTCAATATTTTGAGTTAGAGCTAGTAGAAGTTTCTATAATTTTGATATTATTTATATCAATAGTAGTACACTACACTGTAAAAATCTTTTTGAGATAGAGCAGGTGCGATTTTTTTAATTTGAATTTATTGTCTAAAAGAAATGCACTACGAAATAACTGTGTTCTCGGGCCAATGCTATTCTACTGAAAATGAAGTCTGCAATGAGGATTCATTATTATTCCTTGGATACCAATTTTCGTGGATTTTATGGGTACAGGCAAAACATGAATTTAAATGTTCAACGAATTACAAATGTTCCATAGAAATATATGCTGACTAAAGCAAAACCATGAAATCAAATATCCACGAAAATGGAAGTTTTCCTCAAACCACGAAAATTGGTACCCACGAAAAAAAATTAATCCACAGTATTTTATTTTAGCCTTTTGTGATTTAGAGAGAAAACAGTTTGAAAATTTTTTTTTGGCCACAACAGAAACATGGCCAAATCTGCTTGAATTTGTTACAATGATTTCATTTGTGAATCACTTAAATTTCTTGTATTTTGGGGTTCAGCAGGAGTGAGTTTATAGGGGGCAAGCACATGATTTATACATTTTACCCTCGCTACTTTTTTTTCAAGTAATGTAACTAAGCTCCTCCCACTTCATTTTCTAACCAGTTTGATTTCCTGGGTTTCCTATATCCTTAAATTGGCTAAAGCATTTATTCCATGGAATTAAGGACATGAAAGACCCGGTATAGTAGCAAAATATGTCAACCATGGAATCAGCTCATCAAAGTGATTGTGATACAATTTTTTTATAGGGAAACTTCTATTTAAAATGCTGAAACATTTAAGGAGTCTTTCATGTTTACCATTACAGGAAGGATTGGTGCCACCAGCATTACAACAGATATGGCAAATGGCTGGGGAAATAGCAGATGGCATGGCATATCTGTCTGATAAAAAGTTTGTCCATCGAGATTTGGCTGCTAGAAATTGTATGGTAGCTGTAGATCTTACTGTGAAAATAGGAGGTTAGTATGAGCTCTCAAACTTTGTCAGAATCCTACTTCTTAGGTCTTAAATATATTTTGATATTTGTTAGATTGGTTGTTCATCAGTTTGTCCATCTCATATCTGGTTAAAGTTTTGGTAAAAGGTAGTTTACCATGAAGTTGGGGTCACACCAACTTGAAAGTTAGTACACATGTTCACCTGCATGAATTTTGAAAGAATATATATATCAGTAAGAATTTAATGTTTTTGCAGATTTTGGTATGACTCGAGATGTTTATGAGACAGATTATTATAGAAAGGGTGGTAAAGGATTACTGCCTGTAAGATGGATGGCACCAGAATCATTAAAAGATGGAGTATTTACAAGTTATTCTGATGTATGGTAAGGTTATCATTAGTCTTGTTTAAGTATTGATACTTGTTTAGATTTTGATTGAAAAGATAAAGGTGGAGACAACAATCCCATGCAATAGTTGGAAATAACTTTATTTTTAAGTGAAAGTCGATTTGTCACAATTTTTTATGCCCCCGACGTACAGAGGGGGCATTAAGTTTTACCCTTGTCCGTCTGTACGTCCGTATGTCCTAAATTTGGTTTCCGTTCTCTAAATTTAGTTTGCCTCAACCAAATGTTATGAAACTAATACAATATGCTTATTACCACAAAACACAGATCCATTTTGAAATAAGGTGCTGTCACGATAACAGTTCTTGAGTTATGCCCCTTTATAAACATAAAATTTGCTGAGTTTTTCGTTTCCGTTCTCTAACTTTAGTTTGCCTCAAGCAAATGTTATGAAACTTATACACAATGCTTATTACAACATAATACAGATCAAGTTCTAAATTGGGTGGCGTCACTTTTTCTGTTCTTTAGTTATGCCCCTTTATAAACATAAAAATTGCTGAATATTTTGTTTCCGTTCTCTAACTTTAGTTTACCTCAACCAAATGTTATGAAACTTATACACAATGCTTATTACCACAAAACTCAGATCAAGTACAAATTTGGGTAGCGTCACTTTTACCGTTCTTCAGTTATGTCCCTTTATATCTTTATATGATATGCGGGGGCTTCATCTGTGTCCCATGGACACATTCCACATTTATTTCTGAATACATTCAAAAGCAAACAAAAAATAAAGTATAAAGAAGTACAGGAGTAAAATACTAAAAAAAATGGAAATAAGTTGGTTCAAAGTATTTTTGCACTGACTTGTAGTGCCTTATCATAGATGAACTTTTGTTGAATTTTTGTATACAACTTTTGGTCTCATTACTGGTTATAAGAATTATTGAAAACAATTTAGGGCCATGCACTACCAACTTTCTGTATGTACTATTTTCTGTCCAGTTACCCATTGCCTTTTCATTTTCTGTCCAGTTACCCATTGCCTTTTCATTTTCTGTCCAGTTACCCATTGCCTTTTCGTGCTTTCTTCTTCTGTAGTTCGGTGGCCGAGTCGTCTAAATAGTTACTACTGTAATCACTAGCCAGTCAACGCTAAGGTTGTGAGTTCTCTGGGCACTCTGGCTTCCTCCACCAATAAAAACTTGCCGCCACGAAATAGCCCAAAAGCGGTGCTTAAAAGTAGTGTTTAAAAAACCAAAAATCAAATCAAATCTTATGTAGTTATTTGCCACTCATTGAGCAAACAATCAATCAAGCTTTTAAATATGTAGTTTATATCTTTGGAATCTTTGAAAGTAAATATTTCTTCTATTAAACTAATGTTCGCTGGCTGCTAATGATGCTGATATTAAGAAAAGTATGGATTATAAATGTGGCTTCTAAAGTTTAGCCAGAAATTATTTACTAAAAGCAGTTAAGTGAGGAAATATTGGAAACAGAAAAATTGTAGATATTATGGACATATACCATCTGACAAAAAAAGGATAGTCAAGGTTTATCATGAGATGTAAAAGTTTCAAATGGCTGTTACTTGTATCACTTTATTTTACAAGATAATAACTTAGAATTTCTTAATTTAGGTCTTATGGTGTAGTACTCTGGGAAATGGTGACATTAGCAGAACTGCCATATATTGGGTTATCTCATGAACAGGTCATAAAATATGTGGGCAGTGGTAGGACAATGGAAAAGCCAGAAGGCTGTCCTGACAGACTGTAAGTATTTATAGACTATGTCAAGATGGTACACATTTTCACAACACAAACCAAGATGTGTACAAACATATATATATGGATTAGATAAGTGTGACAATGGCACAAATCATGTATTATAAAGAATTAGAATATGTGAGGTAGATGAATGTAAGACAATATTCAAATAAACAGCCCAAAAATCTGCTTATCTACATGAATATTATGTGTTTTACATGATTAAGACAAAATCATGGTCAACATTGACTTGCATTTCAGTTTTGTTTTTATACGATCGCAAAAAATTTTTTGCGGTCGTATATTGGTATGACGTTGGCGGCATCGTCGTAGTCGTCCGAAGACACATTGGTTTTCGCACTCTAACTTTAGTTTAAGTGAATGGATCTCTATGAAATTTTACCATAAGGTTCAATACCACAAAAGGAAGGTGGGGATTGATTTTGGGGTTATGGTACCAACAGTTAAGGAATTAGGGGCCAAAAATAAGCATTTTTGTAACTTCCAGACTTGTGTGTTAGTGTATGGATCTCTCTGACATTGTACCACAAGGTTCCATATCACAAAGGTAATGCTGGGATTGTTTTTTGGGGTAATTGCCTTAAACTTTTAGGAATTAGGGGCCAAAAATAAGCATTTTTCTAGTTTCCAGACAATAACTTGTGTTCAAATGTATGGATTTCTCTGAAATTGTACTGCAAGGTACCATACCACAAAGGGAAGGCTGGGATTGATTTTGGGGGTAATTCCCTTTAAATTTTAGTAATTAGGTGCCATAAAAGGGCAAAAAGACAAGCATTTTGATATTTTCAGGACAATAACTTGTGTGTAAGTGTATGGATCTTTATGAAATTGTACTGCAAGGTTCCATATCACAAAGGGAAAGCTGGGTTTGAGTTTGGGGGTAATTGCCCTAAACATTTAGGAATTTGGGGCCAAAAAGGGGCCAAAAAACAAGCATTTTTCTAGTTTCCAGACAATAACTTGTGTTCAAGTGTATAGATCTCTCTGAAATTGTACCACAAAGGGAAAGCTGGGATTGAGTTTGGGGGTGATGAATCATAAGGGGGTTCAAAAAATTGGGGGGGGGGGGGGGGGGGGGGGTTTCCTTTTTTTTCTTTAAAATTTTCCATTTTAAATTGGTTATTTCTGATTTATATATAAAAGCAAATAATAATGATATGGTTTGAATAGGTAAATTAAAAATTTTTAAGTTCTTAGACCACTTTCGTTCTGTGTGAGAAATCTATGCTGTGTCAAATATTTAATTACAATCCAAATTCAGTGCTGTATCAAGTTTGAATGTTGTGTCCATACTTGCCCCAACTGTTCAGGGTTCGACCTCTGCGGTCGTATCAAGCTGCGCCCCAGCGGATCATTTTATTCCAGTTTCCAGCAATAACTTGTGTTCAAGTGTATGGATCTCTCTGAAATTGTACTGCAAGGTACCATACCATAAAGGGAAGGCTGGGATTGATTTTGGGGGTAATTCCCTCAAAATTTTAGGAATTAAGGGCCAAAAAGGGGCAAAAAACAAGCATTTTTCTAGTTTCAGGACAATAACTTGTGTGTAAGTGTATGGATCTTTATAAAATTGTATTACAAGGTTCCATATCACAAAGGGAAAGCTGGGTTTGAGTTTGGGGGTAATTGCCCTAAACGTTTAGGAATTTGGGGCCAAAAAGAGCATTTTCTAGTTTCCAGACAATAACTTGAGTTCAAGTGTATGGATCTCTCTGATATTGTACTGCAAGATACCATACCACAAAGTGAAGGCTGGGATTGAGTTTGGGGGTGATGAATCATAAGGGGGTTCAAAAAATTGGGGGGGGGGGGGGGGGGGGAGATTTTTTTCCCCCTTTTTTTCCTTTTTTTTTCTTTAAAATTTTCCATTTTAAATTGGTTATTTCTGATTTATATATAAAAGCAAATAACAATGATATGGTTTTAATAGGTAAATTAAAAATTTTTAAGTTCTTAGACCACATTCATTGTGTGTCAGAAACCTATGCTGTGTCAAATATTTAACCACAATCCAAATTCAGTGCTGTATCAAGCTTGAATGTTGTGTCCATACTTGCCCCAAACTGTTCAGGGTTGGACCTCTGCGGTCATATCAAGCTGTGCCCAGCGAAGCATTTTATTAACATATGCAATATACAGAAAGTTGTTGGGTTCATTTATAATGGTAACATTTTGACAAATTATTTTTCTAGTTTTTAATGCAGAAAAAGCTTTAAAAAGTTTCTTTTAATTTTTGTGATGTTCAGCTTGTCACTTTTTATGTATTAATGTAAGAAAGAACACATTATCTTTGTTCTGCTTTCATTTAAAACTAAAAAGTTTGACCTATTGATGATGAATGGAGGGCCATGAGCACTATAAAAGCTGTTGCACAGATATGATATTTAAGACATTGGAGGATTAAAGAAAATATGTTTAAGTAATGAGTTTCTTTTATTTTATTTTTAGACATCAGTTAATGCTTCAGTGTTGGAGATTTAAAGACAAACAAAGACCTACATTTCAAGGAATAATAGAAATTTTAGTGCCTGTATTGGACCGTTCATTTAGGGAAAAGTCCTATTTCTTTAGTGTAGAAAATCATACTGAAGACAATCACGATGGTGATTACCCAGACGAAGATTATCCCGATGATCTATGGGATGATTCAAATAAACCATTTATCGCCGGTGCGGAGGGCGATTCGTCTCATCATAGTCAAAGTCATCATAGCAGTCATGGTTTTGAGGATCAAGATGAAGGAATTAAATTCGTTGACTATAATTATCATGATAGATTCGGGACAGAACCGTGTGACTGTATCTTGTTAGAGGAAACAGACCATCGGAACCGTAATCATGTGGACAGCAGTTATCGTAATAGTTCGTGCTCAAATCCCAATAGTGCAATAGATACAAGTGATGGGAGTAAAGACAGTAGTACGAGTAAAAGTTCCAACAGTAGTTATCCAATTAATGGAATCAATTTAAATATAGTTAATGGCCATGTGCCGGTTCACATGCGAACAACACCATGCTAGCTATTATTTTGTTGTCATTTGCCAATCAATGTCAAGGCCATATTGGACATCAGACTTATCAAAATGGATGCCATTGGTCAATCTGTTCATGTGATCTCTACACTTTGTTCAAGTGCTTCTTTTTTTTGTATGTTCTATTCTTATCTAGCTACGGGATATATTTTTTATGTGGGATGCTGTTTTAGTTGCTCACTCAAATGAAAAAAAAAGGCTTTTTAAAAGAATTTGTGATTTTTATCTGTACTTGAATTCTTTTGAGCTTTTAGAGGACAGCTTTTAACAAAACAACTCTGTTAAATAATGTCAGATTTTATGATTTTCCTTCTCATCTTGTCATTCATACTTATTTATGAATGGAATAGCATTCTAAACATTGTGATAAATGTTCATTGTAACAATTCATCAAAACTGTTATGTATATAGATATATTTATATATACATTGTATATTTTGGTTCATTTCTCTCCCTTTCTTCTGATAAGTGCAAGATTTCATTATTCATTATTATTTAGAGGCATAAAAAAGTATGTCACGATTGATGATTTTAATGTTTTTAAAGAAGATCTTTTATTCATGATAACATTGCAAGATTTTTTTATAAAGAAAAGGAATAGTTTTAATCAAAAGTTGTCAACCATCCTGAGTTTTGCTTTGAATTTTATTTCACTAAATTGAAAGTTTTTTCTTGCTCCATTGATATTAAGGCAAAAAGTTATGTTTTTTCTACGGTCAATTTTCAAAAAATAAAAAGTATGTTTGGTGATTTTTGGTCAAAAGTACCAATTGATGTTTTGATTGCTCGAAGTGAGTGAATCCTAATTCTGATAAGAAAACTTCAGTATTATATTCTTTTTTTTTTAAATTTATACAATAAAATAGAAAATCTGCAACATATGACCCCCTTGTCCAGTTTTGTACTAGGGAACACAGCCTTTTATTTAAGGTGTTCTTTTCAAGAAAGATAGTCAGTTTTTTTACATTTTTTTTATGATTGATTTTAAAGAATAAAGGATGATTGAAACAACCTTAAACATAAATATTTTTTATTTCGTCAAAGTATTTCTTACAGAAATATGACAGTTGATCAGAATATTTTATAACATGACAGTCTTGCATTTTATCATCATATGTATAGATATATTCCTTCTCATTTTACTGCTGTGCTTTGAATGTGACGAAAGGCCAAAAAAACATGAATATTCATAATTTATTTGTTGTGTCTCTGTTGGTGAATGTAGGGAATGACTTGTTGATTTGTTAATATCTGAATTTACCGGTGGATTTTTATATGAATACTATTGATGATGTTAAGATTTGTGAATGACATGAACAGAAGTTTAAATGTTTGGTACTTCAATCAGACTTGATGAGAGATCATGAAACATACCGAATGAGAACTGATTATGATTTTAAAAATATATATTTGACAAAGCTGTGATAAAGAATACAGGACATTTAACAGTCTTGGCATTCATTTTTTATTTTGTTTGTTTGAATTTTGTTTTAAAAAATTTTAACAACAATTATGAAATTTATAGTACATGTAGGATTTACTAACTGTTTACTTGAGTATTCAAATCTTTGAAATTAAGATAAAAAAAAAATATACTGTTCCTGTGATTGGAAAATATGAATTAAATAGAATACTTTTTTAAAAATCTTTTTGTATGTTATAAGGACATTAAATATAGGTTGTGTAGGAGTAGAAAGTTAAACATATCCATTATTATCTTTATTTCTCAGGAATTCCTGACTATTTATAGACTTTAATCTAATTGGCCATTATTTCTCAGGAATTCCTGACTATTTATAGACTTTAATCTAATTGGCCAGTGTATTTTATAGATATGATCTGATAATTTCTACTCCTGTTTTATTTTGGTTGTGAATTCTTATATAATCTTAATGAGAAAATAATGACTGTTTTCATTACTGGTAAAATTACCAAAAGATTAACTGGTAACCTTTCAAGCTGAGGGTTCTTTCAAACCATCAGATTTGAGAATCATGCATACTAAAAATCTTTCAAAATAATGTGTAGTTTTATCTATTTTTATATATTCAATTGCACCCTAAGATTTTATATCTTGTGAAAGTTCTTAAAAGTTAATGTGTGAATTATTTCAAAGATTACTTTTTGGTTTTATGAAATCAATTTTATCTGAAATAGACATTAATACAAAAAAAAGGATGACAGGATTTCTGAAAATATTTGATAGTACACCAACAAATGACTCCAATATTTGATAGTACACCAACACATGACTCCTCTGGAATTACTATTCTTACATAGTGTTTAAAATAATGTCTGATTTATATTGTACATTGCTCCTTGTGAGGTGAGCCAATTTAATGGAAAATAAATAATTTTTTTTCTTATATAATGAACAGACTTATAAAACTAAACGTTGTATGAAATCTAAGGTGTACAACAAATTCGTTTGGAAGTTAAATATGTAGGAATATTTTTTTGTTAACTAAATATAGATATTGGTATAAATTTATACAAATGATAATAAGTATTTAATTGAAATATTTAGTGGAAATGTTATAAGATGACAACACTTGGGAAAATCCAACGATTTCAACTAAAAATTTTTTTTAAAAATATATTTGGGTTTACATCTTATTAGCAATACCTCTTTTTTAAAGTAGTATGTTAGCCAAGTCAAATAAAACAGACATAGATGTCATACATTTCTTTTTGTTAATTAATTTATGTGAGGTTTTTCTCATATATAAAAAGCAGTTGAGCAGTAGTGCTTAAATCTGTATTTTCTAACACAGTTGTTTTTTCCACCTACATTTTATGTTGTTCACTCAGTAAAGGTATACCTAACATGTTGGTATTGTTATAGATACAGGATTATAATAATTATTAGTTTGAAATTGAATAATGAGGCATTAAAAGCTTGAATCAAATAAACCAAGGTTTAAACAGGTACAGTTTTGCTTAGAAGTAAATTTCTCAAGGAATTGTATGAATCAGGAACAAGATATATTTTAGTGATGAGTGTTATTTGTTATGTTTGAATTTTTACTTGTTTATTTATTGTTATATTTTTTTATTCGGATGTTGCTTAATAACTGATTTTGTTTCAAACACTTCTTCATTAATGTTTGTATGATCTGATTAAGACACAGAAAGGCAAAGTTTTCTGCGTTTGTTTTAAACACATTGTTGGAAGATCTGGGTGCAGAGACATGACATGAGCACGTTATGATGTCTTTTATTCAAAAAGCGTTACTGTTTTCATACAAAGTAATATCAAAGCTTTATTTTGAACACAAATTTCTTTAAAAAAAATGAAAAAAGGTTTATAAATTTTAAAGTTGAATTAATATTCTAAGCTCCTTTTTCGATAGTGTATCTTGTTCATTTCAAGCGACAGAAAGTCAGGATCAGTTCCGATTAGATGAATGGAAGAAGAGTTTTGGAATTAATGGATAGAATGACAAAATGTTAGGTTAATATGACATACCTCCTTTTTTTGTTGCCAGAAAATGACAAAATGTTAGGTTAATGTTCAGATTGTGGAAATTTCTAATATGATATGGCTAAATTCATAGGTGACACTCCCATAAAATTTCATTCAAAAAATCACTACACCAGTAACCTACTTTTCTTAGTTATTAAAAAGTTCAACTAAACCTAACTTTTGGTTACCCTTTGTGTTACAAGAATATTTACAATTACATTTCCTGTAAGACTGAGAAAATTATGAATATCTGACAGTAGCTGGAACTAGACCAGTATAGAGATTAAGAATTACATTATAAATTTAAAAATAAGAAATTAGTGTAATGATAGGGTGTTTCAAACAAAATCAGTATATTATGTTTTGTGGAATTGAATGAAAGTATTGTGTGAAGTGTCAAATGAAAAAATGTGTATTGGAAGACAGAAATGTGAGAAGTTTGTATGAGTATTTGCATATGTTAGGGGGATAACGTGAATGAATATATTTGTCACTGTGTGATGAATGTTTAAATGTCAGCATCTTCATCATCAGTTTTGTAGCTCTGCCTTTCAAACCAAAGCAAAAAAATAAATGTAAATATAGACTATAGTTTTTCTTCTGTTAGTTAGTATGCATTCATAGGAAAATAAAACTGATTCCAATCAAAATTGAAGAAAAGAAGACTGGACAACATATTTGGGGATCTGAACTTGTATAAATATAACAATCTTTATACTCCCAACTCTGGGATAGGTAGGTATACTGGTTACTCAGGTGACACCACACATCAGAATTTTAGGGAGAAGCAAACTGGAGTAATTTTAGTACTTTTCAGACAATTTGCTTGCGGTTAATTAAGATCTAGCCTTTACAGTTATCACTTGGTGGCAAAAGGAGAATAATTATATTTTAGAATATTTGTTACCAGTTACGGTCAATTACAGATTATCATGCTTTCTCAGCACTAGTTGGTTTATCAATGTCTTTGAGTATGGACATACAGTTGTTGCAAGGACTAATTATAAAATGGAAATATTTTAAGTCAATGAATATGTACTAATACATATCGTTGAGGTAAGAATTGCCTTGAAAAATTAATCTTTCAAGTTAGCATGCATTTACCATATACATTAAAAAAAATCTTGGATTTTTTACTCACACAGTAAGTTGCTCAAACAAACCTTGAATGTTTAGGGAAAATATTGTGAAAACATGGGAGTTTTCTTAAATTTTTCCTGTTGCACGTTCCCATGCGAGTTTTTTTTTAAAAGACCATGTTTTTCCTATGTCTATAATTAGATGTATATCAAGAGTTGCCTCTTATATACCATAGATTTGACTATTTCAGGACTCAAAACTAATTGGAAGCAAATTTCAGTAGTCTCCCATTAAGAACAGTTTTTGTGGTTGTCCAATTTTTTTGTAAGCTATATTTTCACCAGATAATATTTAAACAACCAAAAATCGAGTAAATTCCACCCAATTATTGAATTAAGAAACTGTTTTTTTCCCAATACATTGACTGTAATTAAAAAAAATGGGTATAAGGCTGTAAGATCTGTTCAATGTATGTTCATACTGTTCAGTATTTGTTATTCCCCAGTATACATCAACATCATATTGAATTATCTGAAAAGCTACTGAACAGCACTGAATTGACTGCAAGTGAATTGTCTGAACAGTGCTGAATTTGATCGGCAAGAGTAAAAAATCGTCATTGAAGGGCAAAAACTTTAATAAAGAGTGGACTATTGAAAGTTGATTTCAGTCATGTCGACTTATATGAACCGCCCCGGTGTTCTCATGGTTGCTTGCTTCGAGTATGGGAGGTTGTGGGTTCGAACTCCAGCTGGGTCAAATCAAAGACTTTAAAATTGGTATTTGCTGCTTCTCCACTAAGCACGTGGCATTAAGGAGTAAGAGCAAAGACTGGTCAGCTCAGATTCGGAATATTGTGTCAGGGTAAGGTGACATGTCTTCCTGCAGACTGTTACCTTGTGAAGGAGTCGACTGAAGATTTCAACAAAGTTGACTTATTTGTAGATTATAATTTTTGCCTTCAACAGTTTCTATCTATCAATTATGATTTTTAAGATAATAGGCAATAGTGCAAAAAAATTGGTAAAAAATGTTGTTAAAGGGAAATAACTCTAATAAGGAGTCGTCTGACGATTTTGGTCACGATGAATTTTTTGTTGATCTTGTCTTGCTGATAATTTTGCTACAGATAGTTTCTGTCTATCTGTTATAATTTTTGAGTTAATAGGCAAAAAATTTGAAAAAAATGGTAAAATTTGTCATTTAAGGGCAATAACTCCTATAAGATGTCGTCTGATAGTTTTGATGTCTATTTACAATTTGTAGAGCTCAACATGTATCAGATTTTCTGTACTTAAAGTGTTTTTCAAAATAACAGTCAAAACTTGCATTTAACCCCTGTGTTCTATTTTTATACGCCCATTTACAGGGCGTATTATGGTATACCGTTGTCCATCCATCCGCCTGTCCGTCCGTCCGTCGTCAACATGTCGGACAATAACTCAAAAATGCTTTAACCAATTTGCATAACACTGTAATCAATTGTTTATATCTATTGACGTGAGCTCCCTTTCTATTTTTATAAATTTTAAATTTTATGTTTCCGAGTTGTGGGGTTTTATTCATTAAAAAAGGGTGATTTTCCAGTTTTTCTGACAATAACTCAAGTTCTTTGAGCAGTTTTCATGAAACTTTGGTGAATTGTTTATATCTATTGATGTTAGCTCCCTTTCTATTTTTATAAATTTTAGATTTTACTTTTCCGTGTAATGGGATTTTATTCATAAATAAAAAGGGGTGATTTTCCAGTTTTCAGACAAAAAATCAAAAGTGCTTTGAGCAGTTTTCGTGAAACTTTGGTGACTGGTTAATATGTATTAAAATAACCTCCCTTTAGTTTTTATACGACCGCAAAAATTAAAAAATTTTTGGTCGTATATTGGTATCACATTGCCGTTGTCGTCGTCAGTGTCGTCCGAAGACAGATGGTTTCCGGATAATAACTTTAGTATAAGTAAATAGAAATCAATAAAATTTTAACACAAGGTTTATAACCACTAAAGAAAGGTTGGGATTGATTTTGGGGGTTATGGTCCCAACTGTTTAGGAATTAGGGGCCAAAAAAGGGGCCCAAATAAGCATTTTTGTAAATTCCAGACAATAACTTGTGTTAAAGTGTATGAATCTCTCTGAAATTATACCACAAACTTCCATACAACAAAGGGATGGTTAGGAGTGACTTTGGGGAGTTATGGCTCAAACTATTTAGTAATTAGGGGCAAAAAAAGGGGAAAAACAAGGGTTTTTCTGGTTAAAGGACAATTGAGACAATTTAAAAGCACTGTAAGGGAAGTAATCAAATTCAAATTAAAGAACACTGTTTGATTACCTCCCTTACACTGCTTGTAAATTATGTATTAAGAAATGATGATTGTCTTGAGGTGATTAGCTGTCAATGTATTTTTATACGACCGCAAAAATTAAAAATTTTTTGGTCGTATATTGGTATGACGGCGTTGTCGTCGTCGTCGGCGTCGTCCGAAGACACATTGGTTTTCGCACTCTAACTTTAGTTTAAGTGAATGGATCTCCATGAAATTTTACCATAAGGTTCAATACCACGAAAGGAAGGTTGGGATTGATTTTGGGGGTTATGGTACCAACAGTTAAGGAATTAGGGGCCAAAAAGGGGCCAAAAATAAGCATTTTTGTAACTTCCAGACCATAACTTGTGTGTAAGTGTATGGATCTCTCTGACATTGTACCACAAGGTTCCATATCACAAAGGGAAGGCTGTAATTTATTTTGGGGGTAATTGCCTGAAAATTTTAGGAATTAGGGGCCAAAAAAGGGGCAAAAAACAAGCATTTTTCTAGTTTCATGACAATAACTTGTGTGTTAGTGTTTGGATATTTCTGAAATTGTACTACAAGGTTCCATATCACAAAGGGAAAGCTGGAATTGAGTTTGGGGGTAATTGCCCGAAACGTTTAGGAATTGGGGGCCAAAAATAAGCATTTTTCTAGTTTCCAGACAATAACTTGTGTTCAAGTGTATGGATCTCTCTGAAATTGTACTGCAAGGTACCATACCACAAAGGGAAGGCTGGGATTGAATTTGGGGGTGATGAATCATAAGGGGGTTAAAAAAATTTTGGGGGGAGGAATTTTTTTTTTTCTTTTTTTCCTTTTTTTTTTCTTTTAAAATTTTCCATTTTAAGTTGGTTATTTCTGATTTATATTTAAAAGCAAATAATAATGATATGGTAGGAGATACACACCAAACAGGATGTGTAAATTATTATATAATAAGTATTGTGCAATAGCAAGAAATTTTCAATTGCACAGTATTGCACAATAGCAAGAAATCTTCAATTGCACAGTATTGCGCAATAGCAAGAAATCTTCAATTGCACAGTATTGCGCAATAGCAAGAAATATCCAATAGCACAATATTGCGCAATAGCAAGAATTTGATCAATTTCAATGGGGTTTTATTCTTGAATTCTTGGGGTTCTTTAATATGCTGAATCTAACCGTGTATTAAGTTTTTGGATTTTGGGCCCCGTTTTTAAATTGGTCCACATTGAGGTCCAAAGGGTGCAAAATTTAACTTTGTTTGATTTCATCAAAAATTGAATTATTGGGGTTCTTTGATATGCCGAATCTAACCGTGTATTTAGATTCTTAATTTTGGGTTCCGTTTTCAAATTGGTCTACATAAAGGTCCAAAGGGTCCAAAATTAAACTTAGTTTGATTTTAACAAAAATTGAATTTTTAGGGTTCTTTGATATGCTGAATCTAAACATGTATTTAGATTTTTGATTATGGGCCCAGTTTTCAAGTTGGTCCAAATCGGGGTCCAAAATTAAACTTTGTTTGATTTCAACAAAAATTGAATATATGGGGTTCTTTGATATGCTGAATCTAACCATGTATTTAGATTTTTGATTTTTAGGCCCTGTTATCAACTTTGTCCACATTGAGATCAAAAGGGTCCAAAATTAAACTTTGTTTGATTTCATCAAAAATTGAATTCTTGGGGTTCTTTGAGATGCTGAATCTAACCATGTATTTAGATTTTGGATATTGGACCATAATAGGTGAATGTCCAATTTAAAATTTTTAAGTTCTTAGACCACATTCATTCTGTGTCAGAAACCTATGCTGTGTCAAATATTTAATCACAATCCAAATTCAGAGCTGTATCAAGCTTGAATGTTGTGTCCATACTTGCCCCAACTGTTCAGGGTTCGACCTCTGTGGTCGTATCAAGCTGCGCCCTGCGGAGCATTTTATTAGCAGTTACTATTAATATTAATTTTAGCCATGACTATGTATGTCATTTTATATTTTAAAACTTTATGATGTATTTAAATGGGTAATTTTGGTTGCAAACTGCATTAGAAATTTGAATTGAGATACTGACCATATCTTAAGGGGAAAGAATTTTTTTGGGGAATAAGGGAAAGGGGGAGGTGAAAAAAATTGGAGGGGGGGCAATTTTTCTCATTTCAGATTTCAGAAATTAAAAGAAAATTTCTTCAAATATTTTTTTTGGAGGTTTAATATTCAACAGCATAGTGTATTGCACAAAAGCAAAAAACCGGGGTAAAATAAATTTTTTTTGGTAGGGGGGGGGGGGGGGGGGGGGGGGGGAGTCAATTCGCAACTGCATAGTGCATTGCACAAAAGCAATAAATTGAATATAAATTCAAATCATATAACCAATTTGAAGTTCTTTGACTACAGTTATTCTGTGTCAGAAACCTATTATATGTCAAAAATTTAAGTTACAATCCAAATTCAGACCTGTATCAAGCGTGAATATTGTGTCCATTTTGCCCCAACTTTTCATGGTTGGACATCTGCGGTCGTATCCAGCTGCGCTCAGCGAAGCAATTTATTTATACGGGTGTATCATGCGCAAACGGCGCAGTTCTTTATTTTAAAGATATTGTATTATTTAAAAGATGAATGATATTTTGGAAATTGTTGTCATTTTTTTGTAAATTTTTTTAAGAACTTCATGGTAGAATTAATTCTGTATAAATTAATTTTCAGAATGTAATTTTTAAATTTTTTTAGTGAAGCGAAACCCTTTAAAAACTTAGCTATTATTGTCCATTGATAAATAAATAAATTCAATTCTTGGTGTACTTGGATATGCTGAATCAAGCCCTGTATTTAGATTTTGGATATTGGACCATAAAAGGTAAAAGACCAATTTCAAATTTTTCAGTTCTTTGTACTACAAAGATATAGCCTAGACACCATAAATACATATATCAAATGGGACTTTGTCCTTACAAATACAAAATATGATTGTGGGTCATTGCATGAATGATTTGGATTGAAGCAGGCAGTACAAAGAAATGGGCAAGACACAGTTTCGAGCATCTGTTGAGTTGTGACCTTTACATTTAAAGTACGATCTTGGGACAAAAGGACACACTGGGGTCATGGGTGAGTGGAAACATTTCAAAGTTGTGAACCTAACACAAACAGGACAGACAGACAAACAGGCAGATTCCATGGTGGTGTAAAAATTTGATAGTTCAGGTAAGGTATACAAAATATGTGTGCCTCCAATATGCTTTACATGTGTATTACTCAATGTTTCTGATTGGTGCTATACATGTGTATTACTCAATGTTTCTGATTGGTGCTATACATGTGTATTACTCAATGTTTCTGATTGGTGCTATACATGTGTATTACTCAACAATGTTTCTGATTGGTGCTATACATGTGTATTACTCAACAATGTTTCTGATTGGTGCTATACATGTGTATTACTCAACAATGTTTCTGATTGGTGCTATACATGTGTATTACTCAATGTTTCTGATTGGTGCTATACATGTGTATTACTCAACAATGTTTCTGATTGGTGCTATACATGTGTATTACTCAACAATGTTTCTGATTGGTGCTATACATGTGTATTACTCAATGTTTCTGATTGGTGCTATACATGTGTATTACTCAACAATGTTTCTGATTGGTGCTATACATGTGTATTACTCAACAATGTTTCTGATTGGTGCTATACATGTGTATTACTCAACAATGTTTCTGATTGGTGCTATACATGTGTATTACTCAACAATGTTTCTGATTGGTGCTATACATTGAACAAATTTTAAAACCTGAGTGAGCAGAAAAACCAATATGGAATCTCCACATTAAGTTGTCCAGAGGTATTCATCTAATAGAACTGCTAAACAAAAACATTTAGAATGGAAGTTGTGTTATTTTTAACTATTTTGGAACCCACCTCAGATAAAACAATTTCATTGATTGATTTATGTTTGCTATGTGCATCAGGCCAAAATGCCATATTGCAGAGAGATCTAATTAATATATATTAATAGCACAATAAAAGATAGATCTTTATATTCCAGATGAAAGGTCCTTCATCCTTCTAAAACTATTATTTTTGTTTTTTTCCTTAAACCATCATTCAAAACAAAATCACTTATATACAAGTAAAATACAATATCATAACTATGATAAAATAAAAACTAGAGGCTACATCTTCAGCAATGGATACTCTCCATCTTTGTGAACTAGAATAGAATTGATGACAAAAATCTCTTCTTTGTTGATCTAGTCTTGCTGATACTTTTTTTTTTCTTATCTAAGTTTCTATCTATCTAATATAGTTTTTCAGATAATAAGCAACGCAAAAAAATTATGAAAATCTTTTTTAAAGAGAACAACTCCAATAAAGGGTCATCAGACAATTTAAACCATGTTGACTTTTTTGTAGATCTGGTCTTGCTGATCTTTTTGCTTATTTAAGTTTCTATCTATCTATTATAGTCTTTCAGATATTAGGCAAAAACCACAAAAAAATGGTAAAGACCCTCATTAATGGGCAATAACTACAATAAGGGGTTGTCAGACGATTTCAACTATTCAACTTATTTGTAGATCTTGTCTTGCTTATCACTTTTGCTTGTTTAAGTTTCTATCTATCTATTATACTTTTTCAGATATTAGGCAAAAACGCAAAAAAAATAGTAAAAAATGTCATTAAAGGGCAATAACTCCAATAAGGGGTCATCAGATGACTGCAATCATGTTGACTTATTTGTAGAACTTTTCTTGCTGATCATTTTTGATATTAAAAGTTTCTATCTATTATAATTTTCCAAAAAATAGGCAAAAATTTAAAATGTTGGTAAATTTCTTCATTTAAGGGCGACTTCTATACAAAGTTGTCTGACAGTTTTGAAGTAATTGTACAATTGGTAGATCTCATCATTCCAAACATTTCTGCCTTGTCTGATTTTCTCTTTTTATAGTGGTTTTCAAGATAATAGACAAAACTTGCATTTTGCCCCTTAGTTCTTTTTTAGCCATGTCTGTCATCATGGTTGGCATGCGGGGTCTATGGACACATTTTTATACGACCGCAAAAAAATTTTGTGATCGTATATTGGTATGACGTTGGCGTCGTCGTCAGTGGCGGTGTCGGCGGCGGCGGCGTCGTCCGAAGACACATTGGTTTCGCACTCCAACTTTAGTTTAAGTGAATGGATCTCTATCAAATTTTACCATAAGGTTCAATACCACAAAAGGAAGGTGGGGTAGATTTTGGGGGTTATGGTACCAACAGTTAAGGAATTAGGGGCCAAAAATAAGCATTTTTGTAACTTCCAGACATAACTTGTGTGTTAGTGTATGGATCTCTCTGACATTGTACCACAAGGTTCCATATCACAAAGGGAATGCTTGGATTGATTTTGGGGGTAATTGTCTCCAAATTTTAGGGATTGGGGGCCAAAAAAGGGGCAAAAAACAAGCATTTTTCTAGTTTCATGATAATAACTTGTAAGTGTATGGATCTTTCTGAAATTGTACTACAAGGTTCCATATCACAAAGGGAAAGCTGGAATTGAGTTTGGGGGTAATTGCCAAAAAACGTTTAGGAATGAGGGGCCAAAAATAAGCATTTTTCTAGTTTCCAGACAATAACTTGTGTTCAAGTGTATGGATCACTTGGACATTGTACTGCAAGGTACCATACCACAAAGGGAAGGCTGGGATTGATTTTGGGGGTAATTGCCTCAAAATTTTAGGAATTAGGGGCAAAAAAGGGGCAAAAAACAAGCATTTTTCTAGTTTAAGGACAATAACTTGTGTGTAAGTGTATGGATCTTTATGAAATTGTACTACAAGGTTCCATATCACAAAGGGAAAGCTGGGTTTGAGTTTGGGGGTAATTGCCCTAAACATTTAGGAATTTTGGGCCAAAAAGGGGCCTAAAAACAAGCATTTTCCTAGTTTCCAGACAATAACTTGTGTTCAAGTGTATGGATCTCTCTGAAATTGTACTGCAAGGTACCATACCACAAAGGGAAGGCTGGGATTGAGTTTGGGGGTGATGAATCATAAGGGGGTTCAAAAAGTTTGGGGAGGGATTTTTTTTTCTCTAAAATTTTCCATTTTAAATTGGTTATTTTTTATTTATATATAAAAGCAAATAATAATGATATGGTTTGAATAGGTAAATTATATTTTTTTTAAGTTCTTAGACCACATTCATTCTGTGTCAAATATTTAATCACAATCCAAATTCAGTGCTGTATCAAGCTTGAATGTTGTGTCCATACTTGCCCCAACTGTTCAGGGTTCGACCTCTGCGGTCGTATCAAGCTGCGCCCAGCGGAGCATTTTATTTAAACTAGATACACTATTGATGATTGTGGCCAAGTTTGGTTAAATTGGATCAGTAGTTTCAGAGAAGAAGATTTTTGTAAAAGTTGACGATGACGACGGATGCTAAATGATGAGAAAAGCTCACTTGGCCCTTTGTGCCAGGTGAGCTAACAAGTTAAAATGTGAGCTATTTGCTCTCTCCTGATACCCATGCTAGAAGTATTCAGTAAACAGGAAAATTTCATACAGGGCATCACCTAGTACCACATGCACACATGAAGACAGGCGTATAATAAGAAAGACTTCCCATTATTTTGCCCCACCTATAATTAGAAGAGCTTTCATACATGAAGATCATTACATAGGATATGACACTTCTCATTACACAATTACAATGAAATGACTTCAAAATATGCTACATTGTATTAATTTAGGAAGGATGAAAACGAAGCAAAAAAGTTATCTGTAACTAATTACTACTTTTAAATTATTATTAGAGATTATTGAATATTTACCACCCTGTTCTAATGCTAATAACAATGCCTATGTTTGGTTTTACTTTAAACAAGTATTTTTAGGAGAATATTTTTTTGAAAGTTTATTGATGGACACTAGATTTCAAGTGATGGCAACAGTTCACATTGGCCTTTCAGGCAACAGTTCACACTAGCCTTTCAGGCAACAGTTCACACTGGCCTTTCTGGCAACATTAGCTAAATAGCAACCCAATCCTGATCAGTTTGATTAAAAGAAAAATCTTGATTCCTGAAATATTCTAAAAACAACAAAATACTATTTTGATTTTATTTTCATTCTTATCTTAATATGCAACATTACAAAACATCATACAAACATACATATTCCCTTGATAATAAGGTGATATTGTAACAACTTCATGTTCACATGTTCCAAATGCCATCACAATTTACAAAGCAGTTCTAAATAAAAAAAATAATTCACTTGTATTCAATCATTCTTTTTCTACGTTCAACAATATTCAAATATCAATAAGCCAAAAATGATATTTATTATTTTCCTAAACACGAATATTTAAGCCTTCATAATTAAAAAAAAAAAAAAAAAAAGTTTTACAAAATGCAAATACCTCAAACATTTTCACTGAAAACATGACATGACAGAAGTTAATGCCTACAACAACAAAATATGATAGTATGACAAAGATCTTGTTTATAGATGCAGGTGGGAAATGATAACTTTTAGTCTAGCATTACAAGAATAATGGTTGAATCTAATAAATATTTATACTTTTGCTGGTTTTGAAGGATGAAACACAAAAAGTTTATATCACCTAGCATTACAATAGTTGCTTCTTGAAAAATGTCATTTCCATATTATCTTATTTTGGTCATTAAGATACTGATAGTGAATGCATGATTGACTGATTTTGTTTTATCTAATACTACATCAACTTTAAGCATTCCTTTTACAACTTTGAATAAGGTCTTTTTCTTCATTTTGAACTCAGTTTGTCAAAATAATAAATGTTGAACTTTCATCCCCCTAACAGTTTGTACAATGAACTCCTACTGGTAATATATTTTATTATCCTAATCCAAGCTTTATTTCCTTGTACCTTGCACTGTATAATAAATTACTTTCATACATTTTTAAATTTGGTTCTTTTTGGTTACATATTTCTTGAACAGGGAGACTTACAACCTGATTGTAACAATTGTAAGAAATCAGGTTATAAACCTATTTTTAGAACAGACTTAAAGATACATATACAAGCAAAAACAACTTTTAACATTGTATAACATACGTTTGTGCAAAAAAGAAATAGGCTCAAATTAGTTGCTTTAAAAAGTTGAGGCAGTGAAAAAAAGAATAACTCTTATTCAAGTTCATTTTACTGTCAAATGGCACTTCAGCTCAATTTTGAGTTGTATCTATAAACCAAACAAATTAAAGAAAAATCTAAAGGGAACAGAAGTACTTTTAGACATTAATTTTAAATTCCAGAACTAACCAGACTTTTCACTTTTATAATGAATTTCGAAATGAACAAAACTTCCAGAAAATTGTCCTTACAAATCAAGTAGAGTTGTTTAGAAAGAAATAGTGTTACACATCAAATCAGATTAAAACATAAAATGACAAATATACACAAAAACACAAGTTTATAAACTTTTTTCCAGTTTGGCATTAACATAACTCCATTGATATTTTCTTTTATAATTTCACAAAACTGTTCACCTTTGTTTCAAATAATTTTGTGTCAAAATATTGTAAGTGCTATAAATATGCAACAAAAGACAAATAGTTGTAATAATATAGACAACTCTTCAAATTGAGGAAAAATGTATAGAAATTAAAATCAACTTCCTCTAAAAAGAAATAATTCAAAAAGCTGAAAATGATTCATAATTGGACAGCAAGACTTTTTCATAAAAAAATACGTCTTTTTTTAAATAATAGGGTCAAAACAATAAATATATATTATGGAAAGGTAAACATATCATTTAAGTAAAATAATTTCTTCTAAATAATTTTTGAATAATTGCAGATTGAAATGACTAACCATAAATTTTCTTGAATATAAAAATGTATTTGCACTCTACACAAAATACTTTAGAATTGCTTCATAATGCCTTACAGTTCTATCTGTTTCGAACATTGTAGAAATAAATATCAATTTCAGAGACAATTTATGGTTATTCAACATTCATATCTTAAAACTTGCATTAAGTTTTATATTTTTTTAAAGCTAAATTTGTGTATAAAAAACATTTCTAAAGGACATAAATGATGAAAAAAAGATCTAACATAACACAAAAAGAATCTCTAGTAACCAAACACAACAGAAAGCTTAATTCTAACTGGCAAGAACATCTTCTTCATTATTTTTTCACAATTTTTTGTTTCATAAAATTTCCCCTTTATTTGAATTGTTTTTCACTACAATAATGAATAGAATTTAACAAACTAGAAAAATATACATTGTTTCTGAACTTTCACTATAAAGCTATAGACATTTTAAAAGAAAAGCTTCTTGAACATAAACATTTGTAACATAAATTAAATGTTAAAAAACTAAGAAGTAAGCAAAAAAGTACAATATAATTGTCACGCTAATGAAAAAATTCTCTTTTTAAATAATCAATGTGAAACTTTGATCTATTAGATCAATCAATAAATACCAACATGGGATATAAATCATGAGAACAGGATGATGTCATCAAACATACATTCACACATTTACTTCAAGCTAACATTTCCTTCATAAAAAGGAAATAAATGCAGAACAAAATCTCTTTCCTACTGCACAGCAGTAACTTTCAATATTTCCTTTCAGTTTACTCCTTTTATGTATTTTGTATCTAATTAAAAAAAAAACAAACCTAACAAAACACACAAAAAGTCAGAATGTAATTTGCATTATCAATAAATCCCTTTTTACTACGCTGACAGAAGAAAAGATTTTGTTTGACTAAAAAATATAAAAGCCTTTCATGTCAATATAATCATACAACATCATTAATTTATTATAATAATATTTTACACAATAAAATATCAAAAACCTAACATTTCACAGTTTAAAAGTCCTGATACTCCCATGATTCTTTTTCATAACCTTCTCGTACATGGTCTAGTAATACATTACGTCTACTTTCACAGTATCTAAAAAGATAGAATGTATTCAATAATAGACATTAAAAATACTCCCATGATTCTTTTTCATAACCTTCTTGTACATGGCCTTGTAATACATTACGTCTACTTTCACAGTATCTAAAAAGATAATAGTAGACATTAAAAATACTCTATGATGAAGCCTGAAGAATTATTGTTAGCAAGTAATTAGGTTTCCGAAAGTTAAGTCCACACGAACTGTGTTCTGAATAAATAAGGGTCTGCTTGCTCGATGGCAGATTAACAACTAGCAGCAAATATGAAATGTATACTGTAAATTCTGAAATTTCTGTGATGTTTTTATTATTGTGAAAATTTTGACTGAATAGGTGTTGCAAAAATAAAAACTCACTTAAAATTGTTATGACATTATTTGTCTGCAGAATTTATTGAAATTGCAATAATTGATCTCACATTTTTGTCCTTTCTTAAAAATGATCACAATAATTCCTGAATTTACAGTATTCAGAATGATATCATGTTAAAATGCCTGAATTTACAGTATTCAGAATGATATCATGTTAAAATACCTGAATTTACAGTATTCAGAATGATATCATGTTAAAATGCCTGAATTTACAGTATTCAGAATGATATCATGTTAAAATACCTGAATTTACAGTATTCAGAATGATATCATGTTAAAATACCTGAATTTACAGTATTCAGAATGATATCATGTTAAAATGCCTGAATTTACAGTATTCAGAATGATATCATGTTAAAATACCTGAATTTACAGTATTCCTGAATTAACAGTATTCAGAATGATATCATGTTAAAATACCTGAATTTACAGTATTCAGAATGATATCATGTTAAAATACCTGAATTTACAGTATTCAGAATGATATCATGTTAAAATGCCTGAATTTACAGTATTCAGAATGATATCATGTTAAAATGCCTCAATTTACAGTATTCAGAATGATATGTTAAAATGCCTGAATTTACAGTATTCAGAATGATATCATGTTAAAATGCCTGAATTTACGGTATTCAGAATGATATCATGTTAAAATACCTGAATTTACAGTATTCAGAATGATATCATGTTAAAATACCTGAATTTACAGTATTCAGAATGATATGTTAAAATGCCTGAATTTACAGTATTCAGAATGATATCATGTTAAAATGCCTGAATTTACAGTATTCAGAATGATATCATGTTAAAATGCCTGAATTTACAGTATTCAGAATGATATGTTAAAATGCCTGAATTTACAGTATTCAGAATGATATCATGTAAAAATACCTGAATTTACAGTATTCAGAATGATATCATGTTAAAATACCTGAATTTACAGTATTCAGAATGATATCATGTTAAAATACCTGAATTTACAGTATTCAGAATGATATCATGTTAAAATGCCTGAATTTACAGTATTCAGAATGATATCATGTTAAAATACCTGAATTTACAGTATTCAGAATGATATCATGTTAATGAGTTAGAATATTCTATACATTGTACTTCGCCAACACATCAAGTCAGATTTTTATACAAAATGTGCTAGCTTAAAAAGGTATCATTCAGAAGGAAGACATGTTATTCTACCAAGAAACATTACTCTGACTATGCACAAACCAGTCTTATATATTACTCCTCAATGTTGTATAATTGTTTGAGAAGCAGCAAATTCCAATTTTAAAGTCTTTGCTTTGCCCAAACCCATAACCTTCCACACTAGAGGCATGCACAATTACATACTATATCAAGAAAATCAAGCAAATCTGTGATTCTACTGACTTATACAACTGACATCGTCACTATCAATAAAAATTGTCTTTCGGCCCAAATACTGTAAATTCAGAAATTATTGCGTGCATTTATTATTGCGATTTTGTCATTTTAGACTAAAATGCAATTATAATTTTTGCGATATTGAGAAAAATCATGTTTAATTCATCTAAAAAAATTCAAAATGCGAGTTTAAATTATTGCGATTATAAACCTGTCGCATTTTACGCAATAATAAAAACATCGCAATAATTTCTAAATTTACAGTAAACAATGTGTAAGCAAATAAATAAAGTTTTTTTATAACATATAAACAGTAACCGTAAAAAAAAAGTGATGTACTTGATAACAAAACAAATTTGAAGTGGTACAAAATATTGAATGTGAATGTTGTCTTTATTTCTAGAGTAAATTGATAAATCTTTATCTATGTAATAAATTGGAGTGAATCTGTACATACTTCTATTAATTAAGTTTAGGCCCCTTAAAAGAGTTTAGTATTTCTTATTAGTGTCATTTTTTAGGTCCAATCCCAACATATTCTGTTGCCAAGCAAGAAAAACAATATATGAAAAAGTATGTTACCCTTTTCAGAGCATCAGACATGTTTCTGTGTAAAATTCATCATTTATGCTCAAGATCAAAATATTTGAGTCAAAACAAACCATACCAATTTCAAGTAGTGTTCAATTCATATAACCACTAATTTTCTAAAAAGCATTCAATACTGACTTTAACTAACCCATTGTTTTTGTTGGCTCAGCGTGTAGCTACAATTACGTCAAAATGCCCGGGCGTGCACATAAATTTCGAAGAAAAAATATTTTAACCCAAATAATTTAAAGGAACTGATTAAAAGCACAAGAGCCTTGTAATTCTTTCTTCAATGACTTGTAATTGAAGATAAAAGACAAGTGACCAAATCTACTTTTTAATCAAATGGTATATTATTTTTTTAGGTACTTTTAAGGTGGCAAAGATGAGTCATATAACTCCGCAACTGTTTCGAATCTTATACATCCTCGGCTTTGAGCGTTCCTGATGAATGTCAATCCAGAAAAGCGCTTCGGACGCATGAAATTAATAACGTGTTGTTTTCATTCTTACAGCACTGGGTCGATTCATCTGCTGTTGGACTATCCAGGTCCACTCTGTGTTTTTGTTAGATGTATTTCTGCTTTGTATCCACCTGATGAGTTGAGCCCTTTTCAAGGATTTGATAGTTTGTTCTTATGTTGTACTGTTACACCACTGTCCCAGATTAAGGGGAGGGTTGGTGCCTTCAAACTAGTTTAACCCCGCCACATTCTGTATGTGCCTTTCCCAAGTCAGGAGCCTGTAATTCAGTGGTTGTCGTTTGCTGCTGTATATGATATTTGTTTTTCGTTCATTATTTTGTACATATATCAGGCCGTCAGTTTTCTTGTTTGAATTGTTTTACATTTGTTGTTTAGAGTGCTTTTATAGCTGACTATTTGGTATGGGTTTTATCCATTGTTGAAGGCTGTACGTTGACCTATAGTTGTTAATTTCTGTGTCTTTGGGTCTCTTGTGGAGAGTTGTCTCATTGGCAATCATAGGACATCTTCTTATTTTTATATCAGTCCCCGAGAGTATCATCAGCTCAGAAGTCAGTACTTCGGTACTGACATGATTTATAACAAACCTTTCTAAAATTGTCCATATACAGGTTTATAAATTTTGAAATTATACAGAACCTCAAGTTTCAATTGCCTCTGGCAAAGTTGACCTTAGATGAATATGACTATTTTTAGGTACTTTTTGGTCATATACCTCTGCATCCTATTTCAGCTTATACATCCTTGGCTTTCAAATATAAGGCTTTGAGCGTTCCTGATGAAGGTAAATTCAGAAAAGAGCTTTGGATGCATGAAATTAATAACGTGTTGTTTTCATATTTTATTTTATATATTTGTTCATTTTCTGTCAAAGTCTGAATCTTCAGTGAATTCTACTGAGTTTACTATTGTTTAAAGCAATTCATTATCTGCTGAGATACGATGTGGCTTGCGTTTTTATGTTACAGTTAAATATTTATTTTTAAATTACACCTGACCATCTATGAAAATTAATTGGACATGTGTTCATTAACAAAATTATTTATTTTTAAATTACACCTGACCATCTATGAAAATTAATTGGACATGTTTAGAGGGCTTTTATAGCTGACTATTTGGTATGGGTTTTATCCATTGTTGAAGGCTGTACGTTGACCTATAGTTGTTAATTTCTGTGTCTTTGGGTCTCTTGTGGAGAGTTGTCTCATTGGCAATCATAGGACATCTTCTTATTTTTATATCAGTCCCTGAGAGTATCATCAGCTCAGTAGTCAGTACTTCGGTACTGACATGATTTATAACAAACCTTTCTGAAATTGTCCATATACAGGTTTATAAATTTTGAAATTATACAGAACCTCAAGTTTCAATTGCCACTTTTATATATTTGTTCATTTTCTGTCAAAGTCTGAATCTTCTGTGAATTCTACTGAGTTTACTATTGTTTAAAGCAATTCATTATCTGCTGAGATACGATGTGGCTTGCGTTTTTATGTTACAGTTCAATATTTATTTTTAAATTACACCTGACCATCTATGAAAATTAATTGGACATGTGTTCATTAACGAAATTGAGTGTACAAAAGGTGAGTAAATAAGATAAGGTGAAAAAAATGAATAGAACAACACTGAAATGGAGACTTACTTTTTTACTATCTCTATAAAGTTTTTATTTTTTCGTCAATTGGTTATTTACCCCACATCTCCTTTTAAACATATTTTTAAGCTTCTGGTTTGGACATTTTTCTCTTAGATAAATGAATATTAGATTCCAAATCAACACAATGAATAAATTTAACATAAAAAAAAACAAATTAAGACTCTAAAAGAGAAGCGAAAGATACCAAAAGGATATTCAAACTCATCAGTTGAAAACAAACGACAATATTGCCATGGCAAAAAAATGAAAAACTATGAAAAGGCAAACAACAGTACACAAAGCACAACATAGAAACAAAATACTGAGCAACACAGACCCCACCAAAAAGTGGGGGTGATCTCAGGTACTCCAGAAGGGTAAACAAATTCCGCTCTACGTGTGGCTTCCGTCGTGTTGCTGATGTAAGCACAGACCCAGTGATAAGTCTAATTTGGTAGGTCACATTCGAGGGAAAATGGACTGGATTGTGTTAATATCAACAATTGTAACATATCCGTCGTCCATATTAGGAATCTGTGAAACAGATATTCCATAACGGTCAACCTACTCGTAAAATTTTCGAAGGAATGATTTCAACTTCATCACTTGGAACTCTTGGTTTAGTAGCTTCCTTGTAACAAGTGACCATCTATCAAGGAAATGATGATAGGAATGCAAGCTCTGGAATATCTTATCAACTGGGAGGTATTTACTCAAAATGCAGGTGCTGCTTGAATGTTGCTACATAGAAAAGTTCACAATTGGAAGCTTAAATCATCTCTTTTGTCGTAAAGTTCTGTTCTTAACTGACCAAGTATGTTGCTATTGATGAGTTTTTAATGACAGATATTGGTATCTCTTTCTCGATAACGCGTGAACTTCCGGGGGTTTCGCCACCTACCAGGAGATCTTCTGCCCTGTATTAGCTTAGGGGACCTCAAACCCCTCGATGAGGTTCGGGCGTACACTAGAAAATGTCCTAGCTACGCCACTGGCATTAAATCTTACACAGACATTTTGTTGACTTACCTATATTTATCCTGAACCTTCTGTTTAATGTCTTGTAACATATCTGAAGTAATATCTCTTTCTAGATATTCTGATAATTGTTCTGTAGCATTCTCTAAATCTTTCTGGTTGTCCTGAAAACAAAACAATTAAATCTCAATATCTTCTCTTTTTGCTTTTGTTTATAAATGAGAACTGTAATTTCAGGAATCCCTTTTTACTTTTCCATTTACTTTTATTAATTTTCTATGTATGAACAGTTCATCAATGTTAGTTACAAGGTGAATTACTACTGAATATTGAAAGAAGAACTAATTTTAACTGAAGACCAGCAAACCACTGATGCAGAAAGGATTAACATTTAAAAGAATTGAAACAAAGGATTTACCAATAACTTCCAAGACTTAACAAACCAGAAATAAACTTTTAAATGTCTTAAAGGCTGATAACTATTCTCTGTAGAGTGCCAGTTAATCCAGAAATTGTAATATAGGGTGCATGTTGATACTTTGGTCCAACTTTAAAACACAATTCACTTTCATAACAAAATGTGAAAAATCCCAGAAAGTAACTTAACATATATACATATGTATAAAAGGCCTGCTTCATACCTTCCCTTCAGCTCTGTATAACTTACCTCAAATATAATTGACTGATTGTTCTTTTTCAAATAGAAAGCAAAGACATATGTGTACATAAGAGTTTGCCTACATTGACACAAAACATCTACAGCTTTTTTTAAGAATTGTACTTCAATCCATGACATGTGTTGCTGCATCTCTTCCATCTTTAACTTCACAGAGGCATAAAGCTAGAAAAATAATATCATTTCATCATATTGTCAAATTGTAGTATACTTCTAATCAAATTCAGTTAGTCAAGAACAGAAAACACCATAAACTAGAATTTCAACAGTATTATTTTAAACTAGGGATGTCAACTCGGTGAAGATTTACTAATCGAGTACTCGTTAGATTTACCAAGCAATACTCGAGTACTCGCTCGGAAAAACATCTACAAAATGGAAACACAAAATTTTACTCATTTTACGTATTGTGGGTCGGTGTCTTCTGGACGTAAAACCCTCAACATTATTATTTAGGACTAGATAATAGTCCCAGGAATTTTATACCATAATTAATAGCTCATTTACTACATCCACTAATTATGTAAACTGGGAATAATCTATAATCAATTAATTAATAAACATCTATAGAAAAATGTTTACTCAAATAATAGGATTTGTGAATCGTAAAAAAACACATTTAATGATCAACAAAGGGGTGATGATTAGAACTTACTGACGCCTTTAACCATTCTCTGAGGGTCGATACAGGGTGCAACGAATTTGTTCTTATTAAGAAATATTATCTTATCAAATTTTTCTTGGACGAGTCGATTTCTCAACTTTGTTACGTAACTAACAGTCATGCTGATGAAAATATTTGCTCTGATGGTAGAGAGGTGGTGGAATGACTAAGACATGATAAGCTAAAAGTGTAAGCCTTAGAAATGTGCACTTGTTCATAGCCTACATCTGTTCGAGGGAATTTTAAATGACAATTAAACAAAAACATTTGAAGCGTATTTTAATTTTGATTAATATTTAATTTCCTGGGAGTCGCTCTTAATTATACATTTTTTCTTTAAGAAGGCAACAACATTCTAACAGGAAACCGATTAGTCGAGTATCATTTTGGTATTCGATACTCTGTACTACCGAGCGATACTCGAGTTCTTGTTGACATCTCTATTTTAAACATTCAACACTTCAGATATGCATACCTTACCGTTCATGACTTCCTATATTATTATTGTTTCTTGTAATAACAATTGTAAATTTGCTTATTTTTTAAATTAATACTTAAGTTCTTTTTTCTTTTATTACTGATTTTGGTTTCATGTGTGCACACTTCATTAAAATTGCCATTGCACAAGATTGTTTTGCTCACACTATTAATTCTTTCAGAACAAGCAGCTGATAATTTGAGTTTCAAAAATTAAGATTTCAATTGCTCAGAAATCAAATCATACTTATAGATTATTGTTGGTTTTACAAACAAGAGGGTGTTTCTCAGCTACAATCTCATCAAAGGGCAACAGTCCTGAGATGAGATGTGGCCAAGAAACATCATTGAATTTAAAGGCCATTGATAATCTATTTATTGCTATTTTGCATATGACGTCGTTGATGTTAACATTGACAACGGCACGTACACCCTTAGTTTCTAGTGATAATTTTATGTTAACATTGACAACGGCAGGTACACCCTTAGTTTCTAGTGATAATATGATGTTAACATTGACAACGGCACGTACACCCTTAATTTCTAGTGATAATTTGATGTTAACATTGACAACAGCACGTACACCCTTAGTTTCTAGTGATAATTTGATGTTAACATTGACAACGGCACGTACACCCTTAGTTTCTAGTGACAATTTGATGTTAACATTGACAACAGCACGTACACCCTTAGTTTCTAGTGACAATTTGATGTTAACATTGACAACGGCACGTACACCCTTAGTTTCTAGTGATAATTTTCTATCTCAAGAGAGTAGCATGATATGAAAATTATCACAAATAAAGATCAAAGGAAAAATACATAAAATAGCAATAAATTTTTCTATTGCAAGATTTTTTGGTAAAAAGAGTTCCACATTTTTAAGAATGTTCCCATTCAAGAACCTTTCACTATTTAAACTTTAGTTATCTGTTGAATTTCTTATAAAGACTCAGGACAATAAAGAGTTTACCATTCAATTAGAAATGGTTCATAACTGTTAACATTAGTTCGTGAAAAATAAGAATCTTACCTTGTTTTCAAACTTTAAACTCTGCATGTGGTTCATGTACCGGTTACAATAGAACAGATATCTTTGTAGCATTGCCCTAGAGACCTGTAATTGATATATTAATTGTCTCTTAATACATGCATACTACAGACACCAACAAGTTATCAAATATTATATTCATTTTATTATAGAATAAACAATATTTTTATTTATTGTCATTTGTAACAATTCCAATGTCAAACCTGCATGGCTCCTCTTAGTCAATGATAACCACCATTCAGCTGTTAGTTAACGTCAAAGTTTTTCCTGTCAGAAGGTTCCAAGAGGCGTGTTTTCACGCTATTTTGGAAATTTTGTTCGGAAATTTTTCTCACTGTCAAACACCCCTTTGTAGTAGTGTCAAATTCTATTCAGAAATCACAAACCAGGATCGATGATTTGCAGCATATACAACAAGAACTTTTGCACCCATTTCTTTAAAACGTTGAATACATTTTCGTGAAGGGCAAATGTGTAAAACTGAAATGGTTTTACTAACTTTAAATTGCAAATTCCAGTGTAACAGATCATGCAACATGCATCTTTTGATTTTGAATATAAACTGAGTATTCATTTGATTGTAAACTACCAAATGAATTTGGAATTACGATATGAAATTTCATCAGATTATCCAGTTGCAATTAATATTCAAGTATTTACTTTTAAACTACTAAAGTGATTCATTATGATGGATAATTGTTGATATTTGGCATGAAATTATGTTCATTTTGACGATTAATAGTCTAACCTTGTACTGGTTTAAAAAGGGGATGCTGATTGCTTAAGTCAATGATAAGCACGTGTTCGATTTGTTAAATATGTTCTTCATAAATACAGACTTTTTTCTAAATGCCTATACATATTGAGGTGATTTTCAGTATGTGAGTCTACTATGATGAGTTACAGATCAAGGTTTACGTTTGGTTCTACTCTGCTGATTTTTGCCAAAATTATGGGCTTTGGACTTTGAAATTTTCATGAAAATACAGTTATACTGACTTTCATTGAATTTCTCTAATTTCCACTCCTAAAAATGGCTTAAAGCTTTTTTTGCGAGTGGGGCTGTTCGCGTCATTCCGACACATCTAGTTTCATAAAATTGGGTAGAATGTAAATTTATGATGGACATTCTAAATACAAATAATTACATCATAGAAAGTTAATCATCTGATAGAGAAGTCCATACTTGCAACATAACTTATAAATAATTAATTTTTTTCACATAAAATAGTTCATAAACTTTAACTATGTGTTGCACATTTTCTAGTGACGAAACCAACATATTGCAAGACATTTGAAAAAGAGAGTAAAACACATATTGATATATATGCAAAGGCAAATAGTAAACTTCATGTGCTTTTGAGATATTTGAGAAAGGTTTCAGTCTTGTTGGCATTTTGAGAGTTTTCCTTGGGAACAGGGATGATTAAAGTATGGTTGTCAATAGTTATCCTCTGGAGAAGTGAAATTATAACATCAATCTGTTGATTTCATTACCTTTCTTCAAAATGATATTACATCAAATAATACCAATTTTTTTCAGCAATCAGGAAGCAATGGCAGCATTTAAGGGATACACTTTATGCTATTCTTGTGCAGTGCCTTTTATTAATGATTAATGTAAACACTTCCTATCAGACTCTACCATGAGTTTTAAAATATCTGTGTCATAGATGACCTGGGCTTATGGTAATAAAACTTTCGAGTACGATTACTGTACTCAGACTCAAGTATTAACCAATCAAAATACTGGATTTGGTGTTTCGTGCACAAATTTTTTACTGCAAGACCTTTTCTTCACTCTATTGTGGCAACAATGAATCAGTCTTATCAACAGATAAATCTTGCCATAAGCAACATGATGGGTGCCACTAACGCAGCAGAAACTGCAGACCCTTCCTAAACACCTGAGTTCATCACCATTCTTTTGGTAAGGTTGATGTTACTCAATCTTTAGTTTTTAAAGTAGTGTTTCGTGGACTTCAATTTTTCATTTTCTTTTGGCCATGTTGTTGTCTATTTTTCTTAAAGACTTTTTTTCTATTGCCCCTCAGTATCTTCTCTCTCTTTTTTCCTACTTCAGTATTAGCTTCATTTCATATATTCCCAATGGTCAGCTAAATAAGGGGGCTCAAGATTTCAGAAACCATTGGTTAGTAACCCTATTGTTTCATCTAAGTCATTCCAGTATCTTTTCACTTTTACATAAAATACATCAAAGAAGATCCTATAAATGCTTCATACATCATAAGTAAACAGCCATTAAATTGGTATGCTAAGATTTGACTCATACTTTACCTCCTGGTTATCTCTAGCTTTCTTAGCTTCATCTTCATCATATCTGTTACAATTATACCTGCAAATACATTCATGCTTGTATTTTCTAAAATTATTCATAGCTAAAATTTTTGCTACAAATTATGTTTGAATAAAGACTGACTCATATATGAACTATAAATGCATTTAAGTTGTTCTGTTTCACAACTGATAATGGCTTTACCATCTTAATTCTGCATGAAAAAATCTTTTATATATGGGAAAGTCTACATTCATCAATAAAATTTTGAACCCTGCCTTAAATTGTGATTAGAAGAAAAAATAGTCATCATATATGATTATTACTTAACTAAGAGTGCTGGTATAAAGGACCTTAAAGAGAAGTTAAGCCATTAATGAATATTTTCAAATGTGTAAGACTGGGGTTATCCAATTTTGGACTTTTACATAAGATCAATATTTCTATGATATATAGCTCCAAAATGTACTTGTCATGTTTTATGAGTCCGAGCTTTTAGTTTTAGATATTTCTGATAAAGAATAATCCAGAAATATGCATTGACCAAAACAAAATCTTACATTTAACTTTGTATGACATTTGATGACAAGGCATCATTAAATTTGATTTGTAATGTGAAAATGGTGGCTATATACAGGACACTGAATTAATTTGATCCATTTATATCTTTTAACAATTTAAGAGACATAATTTTTCTACATTTATTATATACATTACAAAGACCTATGCAGTCCAAAATTACAACTAACAGAAAAAGGATCCATATTTCAATGAGTAATAATGTGGCTCAAAAGGACTCAAACCCCATTTTCTCCCTTAATGTACATATACTTACCACGATGACCCATGTGGTTCCCAGGGACCTAAACACACCCAACAGAAGTCTGCTTTACAATTCTGGTTTTTACAGATCATGTGGTTACAGCCTCCATCTTTCTCTATTGTGACTCTACATTTTGGACATTCCTGTCAATGAAATAATAAAAGCATATTACATTCTCTTACAGATTACAGTTATACTGTTACTTGTTTCAAAGTAAAACATAAAATTTATTCTGTTGTTTTGTAGTTTCGGGTTTCTTTGGATCATCTTTTTTCACCATTTGATGTCAGACAAAATGGGCAGGCTTATTTCAGTGTGTATGATTTTTGCTGAATGGGAAAATACACATTGAAATATCACTGTATTGTTTTGTTAAAGATGTAAACAACATAAACCTAATTGAATAACAGATAATTGATTACAAATAAATATGAGTACTACAAAAAACACATAATTTTGTGATCCAATAATTAATAGTATAATGTATGAAACATTTAGCCAGAGAAAAATCTTGGAATATGCAGGGATACTGACGCAAGTAAATTTTCCTGTTTCTTTAGCTGCCACGAACAGAGCAACAAACAAAAATAAAACACACACTATATACAGCATATTGTAAATTAAAAATAATAAGGCAGTAGAAACAAAATAATGTTACACTGTAGTTATACTTTCAGAAAATAAAAAGAAAAAAATGGGACAAAGGTTTTATGAATTAGAAATCAAACAAATCTAAAGCAAATTCAATTATTAACTTAGTTTTCCTTGTTTCCAAATAAATATGTACTGATATGTTTTTCTGTCTTTATGAAAATATTACAAAGTTGAAATAAATGTCATCTTGAAAATAAATTTTCTTTATCGAAAGAAAGAATTTTTGTAAAATGTATCATTTGTGATTCAAAATGGCAGCCACAATTTTCATATTCAAATACTATATAAAGTTCTATGAAGTCTGTGTCTAATTCAGATTGACACTTGGGGCCAACATAATGTCTGACCTTTTTAAGTTCCAAGAACTTCCAGTAACTTATAAAAACAAGGAGCAGTTATAATACTAAAGAGCAACATATTTTGGTATACTTTCCAGTACATACACACCATACAACTTCTTCAAACTGCTTTGAATCTTAGTCAGATGAATGAATGCATATAAACACTACATCGTCCTTTGTCAAAGAAGGGAATAAAAAGATTTGTGTACCAAATTATAAATGAAATAACTGTTTCAAAATTTTGATTTAGATATTTTGAACTTAAGAATCCAGTTAATCTGTACCTTGGTATTGGCAGCTATCCAATTAGAGGTTTCACTATCGTCATCACACTTCTTTATCCATTTTCTTAACCATTTACATTTGACTGGGTCATGCCAATTTTCTCCACATGCAAAGCTATATAACAGATAAAGAATTTCTGTTAATTTCATGTTTGTGTGAAAATTACATTTTTTACTGTCCTTTAACATTCCAATTTAAATTGACTTTTATTTCCCTTATTTGTACATTTAAAAATGTTTTGCATTTGAAAAGAAAAATTGGGTTCTGTGAAATTTTAAGGAGTTATTTTTTGTGACATTTCAATTTTTGCCAAAAATTTCGTTAATACAGCAAAAATTACACAATTAAAATTGAAGGCATAATAAAAATTCCCTCAACATGCTTTTGCTCCAAAATTTCAAGAACTTTTCCAGGTGTATTGATTTTGTAATACACAATCTTTTTTTTTATCTGTGCAACTTGTATTCTGTTCAAGTTTAAGTTAACTTCATAATCATAATTTTGAATAAATGGAGAATGTGTCTATGGGCCACTGATGCCCCCGCTTGAAAATATGCGCGAGTCAACTTCCACATACAGATGCAGGATTCACATAGTTAAGACCGTTTTGTGATTATAAGCATTGTGTATCAGTTTCATAACATTTGATTGAGGCAAACTGAAGTAAGAGAACAGAAACGACAGATTGAGCAATTTTTCCATTTATTAAGGGGCATAACTCAAGAAAGATAAAAGTGACGCCACCCAATTTCAAACTTGATCTGTGTTTTGTGGTAATAAGCATTGTATATAAGTTTCATAACATTTGGTTGAGGCAAACTAAAGTTAGAGAACGGAAACGAAAATTCAGCACTTTTTATGTTTATAAAGGGGCATAACTCATGAAAGGTAAAAGTGACGCCACCAAATTATGAACTTGATCTGTGTTTTGTGGTAAAAAGCATTGTGTATAAGTTTTTTAACATTTGGTAGAGGAAAATTTTGGGGACAGACTGACAATGGTAACACTTAATGCCCCCTTCGCTACGCCAGGGGCATAATAAAAATACTTTCGTCCATAGAAAATCATTTAAAAAACCAAATGAAACAATAAATCCAAAATATACCAGATGATTATATCATGCTCCATCAGCCTAAGATAGAAAACACTGTATCTAACAATATCACAAAAACAAGAATAAACTGCTTAGCCTAGTGCAGCTGGATACAACTGCAGAGGTCCAACCCTGAACAGTTGGGGCAAAAATGGACACCATATTCAAGCTTGATCCAGGTCTGAATTTGGATTGTAATTAAATATTTGACACATTATAGGTTTCTGACACAGAATAAATGTAGTCAAAGAACTTGAAATTGGTTGTATGATTGGAATTTATATTCAATTGAAGATTTCTTGCTGTTGTGCAATACACTGTGCTGTTGCGCAATACTTAGTAAATCTGTTTTCAGACTATTATACAAAGAATTTGCAAAATAAATGGTGACCCCCAATTTTTTTCTTTGGAAAATTGACAATTTCTTAAATCTTGAGGAAAAAAAATTGACCCCCCCAAAAAAAATAATATTTGAAGAGAATTTTCCTTAGAGGAAAAAAATTGATCCCCCCCAAAAAAAACAATTGTACCCCCCCCCCCCCTCCAAAAAAATTAATTTTGAAGAAAATTTCTTTTTGTAAAATATTGTACAAATGAAGAGACATCCATACACTTAAACACAAGTTATTGTCTAAAAACTAGAAAAATGCTTGTTTTATACCCTTTTTGGCCCCTAATTCCTGAACGGTCTGAGCAATTACCCACAAAATGAATCCCAACCTTCTACTTGTGGTATTGAACCTTGTGGTACAATTTCAGAGCATTCAAAATACCGTATAGCGGGTTATTTTCGCTGGGTGTAAATTTTCACTTATTTTCGCGGATAGAACATAATCGTCAAAATAAATTCCGCCTATTTAAAAGTGTACATGCAATTGTATTGATAAAAGTTTTGAATCCGCCAAAATAATAACTGCAAAAATATTTCATATACCTTATTCAATGAAAATTGTTTTGGCCCCTTATTCCTAAACGGTTGGGACCATCACCCCCAAAAACAATCCCAACCTTCCTTTTGTGGTATTGAACCTTCTGCTTAAATTTCATAGAGATCCATACACTTAAACTAAAGTTATTGTCCGGAAACCAAATGTCTTAGGACGACGCTGTCGCCGATGACGTGATACCAATATACGTTTTTTGTGGTCGTATAAAAATTATGTGTTGTGGTAGAAACAAATACAAATGACCATAGAATCTTTACTTTTACACAAATGTAATTTTAAGGGTTTCCAGAATTTTTTCATTTCAAAAACTTTCAAGGATTTCAGACATGTGCAAACCATGCTTATATAACATTTGCTTTGAATTTGTAAAGTTGAATGTTAACTTTTCCAAGCACAAAACATAGATCTGAGATAACATTTTACAGTTTCTTATTCTTACCAAAAAATATGACCACAGTTACAGGTTACTGGTTTGGCATCGTGGAAAACAACTTTTACTACATGCCCACAGTCTGGGGCTGGACACCATCGTAATAACTTGTTACACTGAAATATAAACACATTCAATTTTTATTTAATATTCACAGAAAATCCAAGTGAGAATATTGAAATGTAATGTAGGTGTTTCCTGCAGGATGTTTTGGCATGGTATGGCGCCCTGCCCTTATTTCGGAAAAAAATTTGGCGCCATGACCCTTTTCCCTTGTATTTTAGAACCCCTGGGCCGTAATTTAATATCGGTTCTGCAATTCATCTTTTAGCAAGACCATTTGAGTTACTTCCCTTAGAATTAAAATCAATATTTTAATGGCCAACATTTTATTGCATTTCGAAAATTCGCAATGTTTGAACAGTTTTGAAGCCACAGAGTACAAATACGATTAATGATTGAATCTAATAGGGACAACATCGAATTGTACCTCAACGAATTTAAAATGTATACAATTTAAAAGGGAACCAGGCTATCGTATGAGTTATAATTTTACGATGAATGGGATGAACATTACATCTGTTTGTTTATATTTTCTATTTATACTATTCTGTCGGGCGAGACATCGGATTGGATGTGAATTTACGACGGCTTTCATACTGTTGTTATCTTAATAAATTATAGTCAAGAATATAGCTGATATAGTTTTGAATAGTACAAAAAATCAACAACGTTAAAAAAAAAAAACACCAAAAAACACAGATAGAAAAAAGATGAAAAGCAGAAGAATATGTATAGTAAGTCTTGCTATACAAATCTTTGAATATCCTAAAACTATTTTTACAGTTATGAGCCAAGGTAGCTTTGATTGGTATAAACTTGCGAGATCCAAAGGGTATATATTTGGCACTTCTTTTGTGCATCTAAAAAGCAATGCATTGCATATGCTCTTGGTCATGCAAATTCCACATTCACAACACATCCTTAGACAATCAGTCTCAGTGATCCAGTATTAAAGTTTATAACTGGAGTTATTGATTGAAATGAGACAGTTAGACAATGAACATGATCAAAATTCTATTAGCAGAGTCTAGAAGTGATCATTTTATTACAAAAAGGAATTAAGTTAACAACCTAATATACATATCTTTATTCCTTACCAATAAATATGAAACAATGGTATATTCCATTAAATCCCTATCTATAACAGTGCCTTTATATCTATGTTAAGTGTGTCCTAAAAGTGTAGTCCACCTCATAAAGGGTGCCCTTAAAGTGTAGCCAATCGCGCTAAGTTTGAACTCACAACCTCATGACATTTGTATTTTATTTGAAAAACTTACATTTATAGCTATTAAAATAAAAACAGAATGCCTATCATTTTTTTTTATGTGTCAATCAAATCTTACCTCTACAAAACTATTGGTTATTAGTTGCTGGTATTTTAATCTAGTTCTTGGATCGGTTATTAATTTCCTGCAAGCAAAAATCATTTCATTTTAAACCATATGACATATATATACATGTACAAGCCTGTAATTATTCGTCTATGTTTGAAACAATATGATAAATTTCTTTTTGATTCAGTACATTTCTAGATATAGGAGAAGATTTATTTGATACATTTCTTCAATGGTAACCAATTGGCAAACTTCAATAATGAGTAGTTCAATCGGATCTTTCACTTTGCTCTGTTAGATTTGTGTGTCCTTCATGAAAGATCGTAAGACATAAGGGGTCATGTTCAGTGGCCTTTCAGTATACAATCAAATCTTTTCCTTCAAAAGTTGCAGTATTTTTTACTACAGATCATCAAAAACATTTTGGGTAATCTCTGAAATATCTCTGCTTCACGTCTGGAAATTTGATATTTGAACTAAAAAATATCCTGACATGGTTCTGATGTCATGACCTGATTGTTAACATGCCAAAGTTCATTGTTGTATGTCATATTTTATATTATAAAACCCAAGTTGATAAAACATGTTATAATTAGAAAGACAAAATTTTGATCTAAAAGCAATAATCTATGTTAACAGGGCCAACATATCACTTGAAAATAATTGGCTGAATAAAAATTTTGAATAAATGCTTCCTTATTTTGTGTATTCAGATCTTACAAGAGCAACAAACAAATCTAACAAATGTCTATAAAGGTGTGTTGAATAAACATTTTTCACTTCTACGTTAGTTATTCTCTTGCCCCGCATATGTGAACAGTTATTATCGTAAGAATACAGATTTTGGTCATTGTTGGTCCACCTCCAATCCGTAGTTAGTATAAATTTCTTAAGGTATCTTTACAAAAGAAAAAATTGTTGATAATGCAATATAAAATGGATCTAACATTAATTAAAGGGACTTTTAATAATGTTTTGATGGAGTAACAAAATTATTTAACCGAAAATCAGAATCTTCTCTTGTACACTCTTGTAAGAAGTGCTGGAAGTGAAAAAAAATACTTTCATTTGTTTGCGTAAAAATTTGTTCCTTTGAATTAACTACAAAAGTATGATAAGTCTACAAAGTCTACGCTTTCATATGATAACATTTCTTTAGAAATAAATTGCCTATGTCCTTAAATTTCTTTACTTTTAAATGAAAACTTGTCAACTTGATAAAAATAAAAATTCAGATAATAAAAACAACTGTTGTGTACACCTGGGTGATATCGCTTTTGGTGGTCAGGAAAAGCAAAGTGACCAACAGGAAAGCGAATTCGTTGCCCCTGTCCCCAGTAGCGTGAGCCCTGGGTAGTTGATGAGAATGTTTAAAGTTAACAGATGATGTGATGAAAAAAGCTCATACTGATCAATAGACATGATAGAGCGAGGTTTAACTTTATATTAAAGAGAATACTTACATAACTGTATCATCATCTACTAGAATATCACAACCATAGGCAGCACATGATATTGTTTGTCCCATACCTTCCTCTACAATCTTAGATGTTAAATAATCTGTCCAACATTCACTACAAAATTTATGGCCACATTCTAATCCTGCCATATCCTACAATAGAAAATAAAGTCAAAGGTCATGGCAGTCTGCTGGAATTACCAAACTAGCTATGAAAACTATAGCAATTATCTACTTGTTTGGTAAAATTAATCAAGATTTCACTGGATCATTTGATGGAAAATATAAATTATAAGATACATGAAGGTAGAGAAGGTCCTATTAGCCCCTTGCATTACCTTATGGAATTCGTAGCAAAAGCAAGGCCCTATATATATATATATATATATTTATAAAAGAGTCTATAGAAAACAACCAACAAGCTAATTTAATACATATGATGAAGGCAATTAGTTGTTCCAAAATATCTGTCAATACGATTTCATTTCATCCTGTTGTTTACATTTTTATCCTTTTATCAGTTTTGTTGCAAAGAGTGGATATATTAAAAACTTTGATGACCCAAAATAATTAGAAACTCTTTGATTTTATTAGTGAGTGACTTTTGTTTTAAGACAACTTATGATTAATCAAAATCTGAATCAGTATTTTCTGAACACTAACAGCTTACAGGCATAAAATTGAGAATGGAAATGGGGAATGTGTCAAAGAGACAACAACCCGACCATAGAGCAGACAACAGTCGAAGGCCACCAATGGGTCTTCAATGCAGCGAGAAACTCCCGCACCCGGAGGCGTCCTTCTGCTGGCCCCTAAACAACTATGTATACTAGTTCAGTGATAATGGACGTCATACTAAACTCCAAATTATACACAAGAAACTAAAATTAAAAATGATACAAGACTAACAAAGGCCAGAGGCTCCTGACTTGGGACAGGCGCAAAAATGCGGCGGGGTTAAACATGTTTTTTGAGATCTCAACCCTCCCCCTATACCTCTAGCCAATGTAGAAAAAACAAACGTACAACAGTACGCACAGTAAAACTCAGTTTAAGAGAAGTTCGAGTCCGATGTCAGAATGGAAACAAAAGAAAATAAACAAAATGACAATAATACATAAGTAACAACAGACTACTAGCAGTTACTGACATGCCAGCTCCAGACCTCAATTAAACTGATTAAAAGATTATGTCTTCATCATATGAATATCAGGCACAATCCCTCCTGTTAGGGGTTTAGTATTATACCATCATAAAATATATGAGAAGAACATAACCCGTGTCATGCCAACAACTGGTTTTAGAATAAATATGTTTAATTCCGATGCAAAAACCCTATAAGTGAATCAATATTAAAGCCAAAATATGCAATCTTTAATGACCTGACAACAGTATCGTAACTATATCCCTTTTTAATAAGTCTGTTTAAAGGTTTTGTTAGCTTTTGAGGTGAATACTGACATTTTTGTGCTTTGTAAAGAATATTACCATAAAAGATTGGATGTGGAATACCCGAACGTATAAGAGGTCTGCATGTTGAGTTATATTTATGAATGATGTCCTTATATCGATGATAAAATTTAGTAAATGTTTTGACTAGTTTATGATATCGAAAACCCTGGTGTAATAATTTTTCAGTAATACATAAATTTCTTTCGCTAAAATCTAATACGTTGTTACATTCACGAGCGAATCGTACAAGTTGAGATATATAAACACCATAAGATGGTGACAAGGGAACGTCACCATCTAAAAATGGATAATTAACGATAGGAAATGAAAAATCATCTCTTTTATCATAAATTTTTGTATTAAGCTTCCCGTTAATGATATAGATATCAAGATCGAGGAAAGGACAGTGGTCATTGTTAGTATTAGCTTTATTTAAAGTAAGTTCAACAGGATAAATTTCTTTAGTATACATACTGAAGTCGTCATTATTGAGAGCCAATATATCATCCAAATATCTAAAAGAATTGTTAAATTTTTGTATCAGATGTTGTTTCGATGGGTCTTTGCTGATTTTAGTCATAAATTGTAACTCATAACAATACAAAAACAGGTCCGCAATAAGTGGTGCACAGTTATTCCCCATTGGAATTCCGATAACTTGAAGATATACGGAATCTCCAAAGCGAACAAAAATGTTATCAAGTAAAAATTCAAGGGCAGATATAGTATCAAAGCATGTCCAATTGACATAGCTCTTTTGTTTGTTGCCACTAAAAAATGATCTAAAAGAGTTTGAACATATGTATTCGCATTCCGACTTTTTAAATGCCCATTTAATAAGGTATGTGAATTTTGTATACATTCATATACATTGCAATCTTGTATATAACCTACCTTCTGGGATTTAGTTACATAACAGATCTCACAAGTTGCTGGAACACTATCAGCTGATGTTGCCAATCTCGTCATTTTCTATAACATAAACAAAAATTTAATTATCTTATTCCTTTAGAATTTAATTTCAGTTTTAACCATGTAAAATCACTGCAGCCATAAAAACAAAATCTCATGTAACTTCAGCAAAATAATACTAATACAAAAGAAATATTAAATATTGTGGGGTTAAAATTTCACGGTTTTGTCTCCAACCCTCAATTTCATGGGGATTAATTTTCCTGTTAAAGTTATTAGTTCAAGTTTAAAAAATTTTTTAGGGTTCTAATTTCTGGGGTGATATCCACAAAATAAAAGAAATTAAAACCTCAAAGAAAATTTCTGCTTTTACAGTAGTTCCTTCATTACTAAATGCACAGTACATATAATTACCTTGGGCCTTGCTCCTGTTCCAGAGTCTTTTCTCAATGGACTGACAACATGAGCCTCAGAAAACAGCCTGTCTTGATCACCATCATAATACCTATAAAATACTTCACAGTAAAAACAAGCATTCTGAGAGTATTGCATGGCAATACATAGTCACCTACCGGTTAAAAATTCATTGTACTGAAACAAAATGCTAACTTGATCTATAACTTGTCATGGTGTAAACTATATAACAAATATCAAGTCAATATCTTCAAGCATGACAAAAATAAGTGTGGAAAACTGATTATTTAAGTGAATTTTCTAAGTCCAAGGACCACAACTCTGCACAAAATCATCAAACCGGAACAAAATTCAAACTTGATCTGTAACTTGTCATGATATAACTATATACCAATTATCAAATCAATATCTTCAAGCATGAGGAAAAAAAGTGTGGAAAACTGATTATTTGAGTGAATTTTCTAAGTCCAAGGACCATAACTCTGCACAAAATCATCAGACCGAAACAAAAGTCAATCCTGATCTGTAATTTGTCATGATAAAACAATATACCAAATATCAAATCAATATCTTTAAGCATGAAGAAAAAAGTGTGGAAAACTGACGGATGGACAGACAGACAGACAGAGTGCAAAACTAAAAGTCCCCTTCGACTTCGTCGGTAGGGGACTAAAAAACACACTTTGATATCCCGACCAACCAATGAAATTTTGCTTGAAAAGTTATATACAAATGTATTTTTCTGGGTTTGGTTGAAAATTCTTAAGAGGTTCCGCGGAACCCTGTACATGTGTCTAGCCTGTGATTGCTGCTGTCTGGGTAAAAGTGTAATGTTGACTTAAAAGTGAGTCTATTTATCAGTAAAATACAGAATTTAAAAAAAAAATCAAACTTTTTCTTTTCACACTATTTCTTGGTCTTGAAGATTAACTTCTGTCCAAGTGTCATAACAATCCATGAAGGTTTACAAATTTATCATGTCTGTAAATGTTAACTGTAAAAAACGAAGTCCACCTATAGCTACATATATCTGACAGAAAATACTAAAAATAAATAAAATATATTTTCAAAGGTTTGCTTCAGACGTTAACAAGCTTCTGCCAAAGTTTCATAAAACTCTATGAAGGTTTGACAAAGTAATTGATAATGATGTGTAACAAACTTTAACCCCAAACTGTATCTACTTGTTACAAAATGTAACTGTAAAAAAACTAAGTCCATTTATCAGTAAAATACGGAAAAATGAAAATCTTTCTAGGCATCTAGGATCACTTTGTCTCACTTTCTCAGACTCAACAAAAATTATTCTGTGCCAAACAACTGAAAAATTGCACATTACCTTTCCATTAGCTTTTCTTTATCCCATCGAAAATGGTTCAGTAAAATTCTTATAACTGTCTGAGGAATCTGAAACAAATTTTTTATCCTTTAGAATGAACTCTAAAATCTTAATCTAAAATATCTAATAATACTTTTCTTTTGGCTCAAATACTTAATACAGGTACATGTATCAGTTTCTATTTATTAATAATGGGTCATAGTGAACCCGAGTTAGGTTATCAGGGACAAGACGGAATGCCATGGTTCAATGCATCCAAGCTGTTGATACTGGACTTGAACTAACAAATAAAATAAAACAATGTCATAATAAAACTGCAATTTTTGTAGTCATAATAAAAGTAACTAAAGTTCCGAAGTCTCGCAAAATAGATAGTTGAACAGGCCTAAAAAGATGGTGTTTATGCTAACCCCACCAACCCAAATTTTTAGTGCCTTCCCTTAAGATTTATTTGTCAATTTTAAACAAGCATCAGTGTTCTCCCCAGGCTGTTTTAGCACATCTTTGCTAGCCAAGGGTTAAGATCCACTTCCCTCCTCTCCACCCTTGGCAGATTGAGATAGAATTTCGGAGACACAAGGTAATGATTTTCATTGGTTGCAGTCGAAACTGGCTGCATCCAATCAAAAAGCGCCAATAACATGATCACGTGTAAATGTAGAAAGTGTATGTAAACAATTGCCACGTGCTTATTGTGCAACAAGTCTTTACATCCCTAAACATACGACTATATTTAGTGACAATTTGAATGTTTTTAATCAACTAATAGAAGTTCCTGTGTATGTTTCTTGCACAAATGCATGAATGTCAACGTATATTTTCGTTTCCTGCTTTACCAAGTGTGTAGAATCTAGACGCTACCGTGTTTTTACCTCCAAATTAAAGAGTTCAAGTGCTACCATTGGTCAAGAATAATGTATTCGGAATGGGCGTGACTTTAATCTACCGATAGATGGCGCAACATTGTTATCACAAATGTTGGCTTAATCTGCCAAGGGTGAAGAGGAGGGAAGTGGATCGCAACCCTTGGCTAGCGAAGATGGTTTTAGCACTGCAGTATTCAACTTAACTTGGCTTTATTATGTAAATGTCAGAGGGCCATGATTTACCTGATATATAAATGACATTACTATGAATAATCTGTGTTACAGTTAATACAGTCCCTTCATAGTAATGTCATTAATATACATGTATCTGGTCAATCAATTGGTTTTTTTTCTATCAACAAGAAAACCATGGTCATCTGAAACAAAACATTAAACATTAAGAGTATTAATTAATAAAATACTTCCTTTAAGAATTGAATGCTTCTTTTTAAATGAGTTGAACAAAGTACATTTTGTATGAAGCGCGCCAACTCTATAAAATTACTAAAAGAAAGCATTCAATACTTATAATTACATTTTTTGCTAGGATCATGAAAACACGATTTCTATCAAGTTTTCTTTTATTTACCTGTGCACTTTATTGTGAGAGCTTGTGCCATCATGAATGTTACATTCGATTTTGAAATGGATGTTAATTTCAGAATGACGCGAGATTGTTGTTAGCCAATCAAAATAACGTATTATAATGAAACATACATGTAATGTTAATATAGTTATGTAATTTGTATACAATGTATCTAGCTAGTCAATCATAACCTTCAGACCTATATCAGTTTTGGATGACTCTATGGCATATTGTAATTTTTATTGTAACTGGACTATGCCAAAAATGCAATTGTTCATGAATATGAGCATATGAAATTATTATTTATGGATTTCATAAATAAATCAACATCTGACATAGTTACTCATTCCAGGAACTATCCTCATTTGCCTTTGGTAAGTTGTGCTAAACCTGTTTAATGCACATACATTTTACATCATGTAAATATTTCAAACACACCTGAACCACAACATTAACTTCTTTAATGCAATCAACCATAAACTTTACAATCTGATCAGCAGTCAAGACCTCAAATGGAAATTCTTCTTGTTCAGATTTGTCCTGTGCGGAGGAGGGTTCAGCCATTTCCACGAAGTCTTCATTATCGCTGGAATCGATTTCAACTTCACCTTCAGAGTCCTCATCGTATATCATATCATCTTCACTGTCCATTATCTTTCTTTTGTTTGAGATTTTTTGAAGATCCCTCTTGAGATTTGTTGCACAAAACAGGTCGTATTTACATCTGTGACGTCATCTTCGGTCTGCGACCAACAGACGGTCACAAGTATTTGGGAATACTGGGGGGAAACGATTGAAACTTTACTTAAAATATAAACAATGACATTTCCTTTTTGTCATACATCTAAGAAATTGAATTTTGTTGTAAAGGAAGCTTTGGTTAATCTAATTTTACGAAGATGATATCACCTTCGCCGAGCTCCTTCTAGAGGATTCTGGGAAAGTTTTTTGTTGTTTAGAAAATTACCTCAATGCACAAACGAGCGGAGTAAAGAGGAGATAATTCATTCGAATTCTACGTTTTGTCTTGTGGAAAAAAATGGACAAAATATTTTGAGCCTTTCTTTTATCAAAGAATTAATTTCGTAAAAGAAATGTTTTCTTGTATTTGCAATATTTCGCTTAGGAATTTTGTTAATGTTTATTGTGAAATGTTAAAGTCAAATTTGGAAGATTAATGCATGTAAGCTAATCTCAAGTTTTAATCTGTTTTTCAATATTAGCAACATTTAGGCCTACTGTAATTATACCTAGTATTTTTATATCTAATTAGTTCGACAAATATAAGTATGTATGTTCCATCTGTTAACAAAGTCGATCACGTAGTGGAACACTAAAGGTAAAGTAAAATAAGGTTAAATGTTGAAGTTGGTCGTTATAATAATATTCCTGAAGAGAAAATCGTTTATGTAGATGCTGTAAAATGTATGTTATTGAAGATGAGTATACTTTTGTTCTAGTTTGTCCGGCTTATAGATCTGTGCGAACACAATTTTTACCAAAGTATTATTGTTCTTAATTGGTATAATTTAACAGGGCTGCCAAGTCTCACGCATTTAGACTCACGCATTTTCATGCTTATTTGGCGGCATTTTCCTTTGATCTATTGTTTTTTCTCTTTGATCTTTACGATTTTGGCCAAATCTCACGCATTTGCATTATTAAAAGTTGGCAGAACTGCTAATAATCATAAACTTTTATGGATATATTTACTTCAAGCATACATATATCCATGCTTCAAGCGTCTATCAAGTCTCTCACTATCAAATTATGTAATTATATAAAAACTGCATGGAATATTAGATCTCATATAATTTCATATCGATAACTTTACATTTGTCATAGTATTTTACTATTGTTCTCTGCTGCTGTCTATTCGTGTTTTATATTTTGTTAATTTTGCCATACTGGCGGCATGTTTTATGTTTTTGCAATAAAGATTCATTCATTCATTCATATTGTTAATCATTTGCATGTGCTGATTTTTCTACAATTTGCTAATTTTTTTTCTACTCATTTAGAGAAATATTTGTCAATTTTTGGTTTGTTTATATATAAACGGTTTTATCATTTCGATATGCCAGATTGGATTTAGTATTACCTATGTTAGTATAATAGTCCCAGATATTACACTGAGCAGTGAATTGTATTCCATGCTGAACTTATTAAATCATAACATGATCGGGGAAACTATAGTCTTCATTTGTCGCAAGACTGAGTCCCAAAAGTCGATGGAGACTCATATTATTGTTTATTTTTTAGGTGTGTGTGTGTGGTTGCAGGCCAACGCACAATGCAACCCAGTTAGCCGAGATTCAGTTTTAGTGGTGACTTTTGGTGCGACTCGTAGCTCGATGACTACTGATCAGTGGCCGCGTAGCATGCTAAATATTTATTAGATATAGATGAATTAAACGATTGGCAATGTTAAATTATTAAAGCATAAATTGATTCCTACATTGACTTGTAATCGGCAATTTACTTGAGTTTAATGAAATCAAGATTTGTGTAGTAATTTTACTATACAAATATTTGATGAAATGGTTTCCTGATGATATATTAGTTCCTACTGTGAACATAACATGAATAAAATTTCTCAACTTACTTATTGTTGAAATCGTTTAATCAATTTCTATATGAAACAAACTGACAGATCAGAAAGATTAGTATTACCAAGAAAAAAAGAGTTGTCCGTGTGGTTTGAAATCGTACATTTTGTATATCTATTTTCACCGAAAAGTTGCCTTCTGTACAGGAAGACTTAATTTAAAAGGGAACGAGAGACTTTTTTTAAAGCAAATAATTTGACCTGACTAATTAGTAAAAAACAAAAACAAACATAATATCTGAGATTACTAAAACATATAATAGTCTCAGATTACATCAAGTCATTTGCAGTTAAGAACGCAGCGATTGGGCTCGGTCTTAACCATAGTATCAATTCCAGGGAAAATTTCAGTATTATGAATACTCGACAAATTAATTCCTTCAAATGAATCAAGGGTTGGGTGTCGCTGTCGATGTATGTGACTTGAGACAGGATAGTCAAATAGCGCGTTTCTCGTTTTATTCTCAGACTAATTCATTTTTATTCATTTTTTAAAGGCAGTGCTTTAATGCCTTTCTAGTTGCCGTGTTAATCTTTCTTTCCGCGATATCCAACTTATCTAAGTGGGGGGTCATTAGGCTCCAAGTAGATCCGGAAAATGTTGATTCTCTCCTCTTCTTATTGTGATATAAAATGTTTTTTGTTTCATTTCATTTACATTGGGAAATAGAGAAACGATCATTGTGTTTTGTTAGTTTTAAAAACTTTTGATATATTTGCATTTTGCATTATAAGCAGTCAACCGATTGACAAACAAGAATTATTTGAATTCCGTGTGGAAAGAGGTCGGGTTAGTTTCGAGTGTTATCTGCAATCTAGATGTTTATAAATCATTACAGTCGTTGATATAATAATTAAAGGTCGACTGAACATGAATTATATTATACAATTTAAAGCGCATTTCTGTTTATGCACGTGAACCCATCTAACGTTATTGATTGTTATTTCGCAGTTTATAAAGTAGCAAATTATCATTCCTGAATAGGTGGCGCCTTTGTAGCCGATCCTGTTCTTAAACTTCCGGTTTCTGCACTGTGCAACTATACAGTTGCATTTTTAATTAACGATGCCAAGTGCTTGTTGTTGTGTACCTGGATGTCATTTAAGAGGAGGACATGCATTTCCAAATGACTTAAAAAGAAGGAAAAGTTGGATCAACGCCATGGCCCATACGCAGATTGGACGAGAACACGAGTCCATCTCAATCAGCTGTTGTTTGCAAGGCACATTTTACTGAAAAAGACTACGTGCAGGAAACTATTCATGGTAAAACTCTATTTTCTTTTTAAAATATATAGTTATATATGTAATCGCCATGCGAATAAACCAAAGTCTGTTTACAACCGCAATTATCGTTTTAGAATAAAAGGGGGTGGTTAATTCAAGACGTCATAATTTTTTGGATTACGTTTCAATGTGATCTGTTTGAGATTTTTTGGTGCTTGCTACAATTATAATGATTTCTTACAAGAGGTATATCATACTGAGAATTATTTTAGCAGTAATTATGCTAATGTAGTAATGACAGGAATGCATAAGCTATGCCTCATAGACTTTCTTGAAAAATATCAATGACAATGTTAACAGGAACAAAACAATGACATGCTCTCATCTATATTATAGTTATTTAGGTACACACAATGTACGTTTGTTGCAGAAGTCTCTCATTGTTTGTCCTTTGGATTTACATAACATACATTGAATCAGGCAAACATAGTTTTATCCAGATTGTAATGAATAAATCTAGTTAATATTTTGCCAGGTAGTACAAAGTATGCATTGCTAATGGAAGTTCATTTAATTATCAAAAAACTAATGTTTTATAACCTTTTTCAGGGCGCAAACCCACCATACAGAGACTTAATTCTACTGCCATTCCCAGCCTATTTTCCTGGACCAAGCAAGAGATTGAATCGTCCGCAAAAAGAAAAATCAGGGCAGTTTCCTGTGAAAACAAAAGAACTAAACTTGATGAATATTGTAGTAGAAATCTAGAGGAAAGTTTTGATTGTAAAGTTGGTTTTCCTGAAGAGGTCATTCATACTGCAGACAGGATTTATGACTGTCCACCACCAACTGCCGAGCTAATGTTGAGCTTCACAGATGGAATTACGCAAACACCATCAATGCCTATATTTTCAGCAGAGAATTTTGAAATGAAGACACGTGACACAGCCATGCATTTTTATACCGGTTTAGAGTTGTATACTAAATTTTTATTTGTTTTGACCACATTTGGTCCAGCAGCACATTGTTTGGGATACATATATTTTCAAATTGATAGGGTGTCATTTGAAAATCAGTTTTTTTATGACTTTGATGAAATTGAGGCATTATACAACCAACTTTGAACTGTCCAGATTCTAGATTGAAACTAGTGTTAAGAATGTTGTGTAAACATGGATTGTTTTTATTTTTAAACAGTGGCGTGAGGCTAACACTTGGCCATTTAGTGGTTTAGTCAGGTATTTTTCGCCATCCAACTTCAAATTAAAGTTTCCTACAACTTGGATTATTATTGACAGCACAGAATATCCCATGATAAAACCTAAAGCTTCTAGAGCTCAGGCAACCTTTTCATCATATAAAAACAGAAACACTGAAAATACTTGTATGTTTGACACCTGGTGGTTTAGTCATCTATGTCTCTAATGCATATGTTGGTTGTACCAGTGACTGTGAAATAGTTGAAAGATGTAGAATAGTTCAATTATGTGATAGTATGATGGCAGACAAAGGTTTAAATGTGCAAGATTTGTTTGCTCACTTTTTTCAAAAAAAGAAACAGAATTAGTTCCAAAACTCGAATACGGGATAGAAAAGTCTCCAATTAACACGTGCACATAGAGCTAATTATTGGACTTGGCAAAACATACAAAATTCTAATAAATCCTATGAATGGAACTGAAACAAAACTTTCATCTGAAATAACATTTAGTTGTTTTATGTTGTGTAATTTTAGAACTTGTATTGTGCCAACATGACATGGCCAAAGGATGCATAAATAAAAGTGACGCAATGAAGTTTGTTCTGATATATATATATTTACAATTACATGCACATGCACATGTAAATTGTAATGCATATAAAAATAAGGAGATGTGGTATGATATTCAGTGAGTTTATCGAACCAAAGTGCATAAGAAATGGGTTAAGCAGTTACAGGTGTTACTATCACCGTACAATCTCCAACAATGAGAAAAACTTGTACCGTGTAAAAAATTTCAGAGATCTTACAACTAAGTTTTGTTGTCTCACCTTGACTTTGGTGAATTGTTTATATCTGTTGATGTAAATATAAAAAAGAAGATGTGGTATGATTGCCAATGAGACA